GGCTCCAACAATCCCAGCTGCATCAATGGTCAGGAGCTGGCCTTGGAGGAGCGCATCACAGAAGTGCGTCGCTTCAGGCATGGCTTCGCTGAGACGGTGAACAGCATCCTGGAAGCTCTCTCCCTGCTTATGAAGCACCGTTTTGATGGGGCCCCCTGCGGGTCGCAGGTCCCATGGTAGCGGAGCAAAATCCAGCCGCGCACCTGTTCGGAAGAGCAGGAGTTGAGGTCGCGGAAGATTCTCAACACAATGCACCAGGATTTGAACTGCTCTTACCCCGAATGGAGCAGAGCTGACCGCTTGGGCAACGACATCTCGAAGTGTCGCCTTGTTATCACGAGGCACCAGGGTCAGGTGTCGGGACGTGTCAAACACCGTAAAGAATTGGCGGTGCTCGGTCTCCTCCCCTCCCCAAGAAAAAGAGGCAACTGCTCGGGAGTGCAGACTGATGTCATCGAGATACTCAGGGAGGAGAGTCGGGTCCTCTGGTCCATACCCTAACTGTTTCGTTGGCGCGCCATGTGGGCCGCGAATCAGAAGAGAAGGAGGCTCCTCAATGACGGGTGTTGGCCAACGGCTCGGGTTCGGCTTGTGACTGGCAGGACTGGCACAGGCGGGTCCGTTGATGCTGGGGTGTGAACGCGCCGAGAGTTGCCGGGCCGGGTAGCTGGGAAGACTGTAGGCCTGAACAAACGAGTGCTCATCATGCTCTGCATCCCTGCGTGCTGGGGCATCCCCAGCGGCCTGTTGCACACCCGTGGCTCGGATCGCCTCATCGGGAGTAGGCGGAACATCAACCGCAGCGGATACCGGCGTTGCTCGGATCCATTCAAGCACAGCTGTGTTGAGGGAGATGTATCGCACAGGGTGACCATCCTGGTCCTGGAACACCACGTCACCAGCCTCAACAGAGGCACGTAAGGGATCGACTGACACCTCCTTATCAGCAAGAAGATCCCAAAGAACCGTTATATCGCAAGGCCTGCGAATGATGACAGTAAGGATGCAGCCTCCAACGGGGCGTAAATCCAAGGGGAGCACCCTTCCAGGCCTAGCAACAGCAGCCGCAGTGAGCACCAAGTTCGGCTTGTGGGTGTTCGGCAGTGCAACAGTGAGGAATTGGATGGAACGCACCGTATAAGGAACCTGACTGCATGCGTCAGTCGCATATTGCAACGGTGTCCAGTACCTCCGGGATGGGCGCGTGAGCCTGTCATGGTTGGCTTCCAACACTTCATACTTCAACCTCTCAATCCCTTCTTCCGAGGAGGACGGTATAAACAGAACGTCCTTCAAGGGTGTCTCAAGCAGGGGGCCTTGCAGAGACGAAGGAGCGAAGTCCTTCTGGCTTGTGAGCATGAGACTCAGGGTGGAGGCCTGAGGTGGTAGTGCTGCAGCACGGGTCTCCGGCATGGAAGGCCTGGAGCGCGGTTGAAGCTGGTCATCCTTGGAGGAATCGGTCGGGTGACATCCGATGCAGCCAAGGCTCGACAGGGAACCGACCTTGCAGCTGCTCGGGTAGCCATGATCAGGAACCTCCTGTGCTACTCGAAGCACGGGGGAAGGAAAGGGGTCCAGGGGCGGGCAATGTGCAGTGCCAGCCAACTGCTGCACATGCTGCGACAGGGAGACATGGTATGGTGGTTCCTCGCTGCCCCACCGGAGCTCCTGAAGGAAAGCACGCTTGAAACCGTTGCAGTGACGTGCCGGGCTCATTGCATCAAAAGTCACCCTGAGTGACAGGGAGTGAGGGCGGAGGTGCAGGCAGTGCCGCAGCGGAAGCAGCCTACATCCTAAAGGTCCGCTTTGTACAGTATGTACATAAGTTACATCCACCTGTGGAGGGGCCGGCCTCAGACGCTGGCTCGAAAGGTCTGCAAGGGTGTTCAGCTTAGCACCTCCCTTCGCGTCAGGACCAATTCCCTGACCAGCCATGTGGGAATTGGTCTCCTGGAAGAGGGGAGAATGCTCTCGTTGAACACCATCACATAACCTTGCGCCAAGCGACGGGTCACAGCTCACGGCAGACAAAAGGCGTGGGTCCTCGAAGTAGCTCAACAAATGGTCTTGGCCACTGCTCATCAACTGGACTTCAAGCTCCAGGTTCATTGCACAAAGGCCAGCGTGGAAGACGGACACATAGTCGTCCTCATCCATGACGCTGTGCCAAGTCGGCCCGTGCATCCTATCTAGGCACTTGCACGGGCCTCGCCAGGGTCCTCCGAGTGTGTCAGATCGATGGCTGACTCTCGGCCTTTGCGCCGCGGTGTCCGGCTGCCGTCCCGCGTGGCTGCAGCAGCTGCATCTCGCTGGGCCTCCTCCAGGAGGTCGGTGATCTGGGCATGCTGCGCTTTGAACTTCTCCCTGGCGATCCTGTGTCGCTCGCGCATCTCGGCCTCCGCCTGGACGTTGGCCGCCACCATCTCCTCGGAGTCCTCCGCGTCCATGTCGGCTTCCTCCTCGGTTCCTTTTGCGTCGCGTTCTCGCGCCTCCTTGGGGTCCTTCACTTCCGACTCCGAGGCCGCCTGAGCGAGCTGCTGAGTAACATTGGAGAGCCGCAGCGTCAGCTCGGCTTCTTTCTCGGCAAAGGTGTCCAGGGCAGCAATTCGCTCCTCGCCCTGCTTTTTCCAGAGTTCGAGAAGCTGAAGCACGTAGGATTCCCAGGCCGACGAAAAAGCCGCCCGGTTGGTCTTCAGGGTCTCCAGCTCCTTCTTGAGCTGAGTTTGGTCTGAGACCATCTTGTGCATCAATCTGCCCTGTTTGCGAGTCTCGTCGACGGTCACCTGTCCAGCTCGTCGTTGTATCTCCGGTGTCAACTGTTCCTGTGGGATCAAGGCGAGGAGCTCCGCAATCAGGCGCTGATTGTCTGGACTGGCGGTCGGCGCGGCAACGGGCTGTATGGGCTTCGCCGGCAACACCGCTGTAGGTGCCGGTGGCAGCCCCCCAAGCGAAGGCAGCGCCGGCCACTCCGGACCGAGCTCCTCCGGTGGCCAGCCTTTGGCCTGGCCCTTGCCAGCCTCTGCTGGCTGCTTCCCTTTCGAGCCCTTGCCCTTGGCTTGTGGCTTGCCCCCACGTTTGCGGGGCGACTGGCCACGCTGTCTCGGCGACTCCCATCCACTGCGGCCATGTTGGTACGGCGGCGGCTCCCACGAAGGGGCCGAGTGGTATGGGGTCTCTTGGTTCTGCTGCCAATGCCCACCACAAGTAGGGCAGTAGCTCGCACTCAGTCGGCAGTATTGCTTGCAGACCTTGCACTTCCAGGACTTGTTGGTCGCCATCGTGGCAGCTGTCTGTCCAGTTGCTCTGTGGTACTGAGCGGGCAGCACCGACCGCGAGTGGTGTCTTTCGAGTAAGATCGCAGCTCGGTCCAGAGCCGCACTTCTCGTTGTACGCCTGGCCAGGGCAAGTCTTAGTTGCGTCCTGGCCCTGGTCCTTTGTCGACGAGCTCGGCGATGGGCCGCGCTCTCCAGGAAGCGCCCAGCCGTGGCTTGTAGCGCCGACAAACACCCAGAAAATAAAGAGCAGTCGAGGCCCCTGCCCACTGCTCCTCATATAAAATTCCACCAAATATGTCGGCACAAGGCAGCGAGATATCCAGTGGAGAATAAACAAAAAGATGAAAAGGCGCCAGTAGGCTCGCCAGGCCGGTCGTCGGCTGATTAAACAGCAGCGATGAGCACGGCAAGGACGAGGTCAGTGGCCCTGGGCTTTGGAAGCCTTGTTGCGTGAGCTTGCACTCCGGCAAGCCGCACTGGGGTCTGGGCACCAGGGACTCCTAAGAGAAACTGCCTGGGCCGAGACGCCTGTTTTTTTTTTTTTTTTCGGGCTGTTAGGGTTTAGGGTTTGCGGGTTTGAGTCAGGGCAACCCAACCAAGCTGGCCACAGACAGCAACTGAACCCTCAACCCCGAGAAGAACCGCTTTCACATCCATTTTTCAAGGTGCTGGTTGCACTCGGTCTTGTAAGAGCGGGTTTATGGGCCTGCACAGAAGGAGCCCTCGATGACCGACCTGCTTTTTTCACCCTACGAACCTCTAGTGCGGCCCTATCACACCGTAAAACCCATGTGCCTCTTGCAACATCCTAAGAAGCCCCCCCCCCCCTGCGAAACACGTCTGAAAGTAAACCCTAAACAGCAAACCGAAACACTAGGATCCGTATTAACATGATCTACAAACAAGGTAACTTCGAGCAACCTCGCCGGCAGCAATCCTTCTTGTGGAATATACCTGGAATCATATTCGGGATACTTGTAACATGTACTGACTGTTGCTTTATTAAGGGCTTGTGGAGTCCCAAGGGGCCATATTAGACTTTCAGAAACCCTTCGTGAGCCCTCACAGAACTGCTACAGCAACCCTTCAACCCTTTTGAACCCTCTTATCTAGCAACTCTTAAACTTGCGTTGGCATCCAGTGGATGGCATGGCACCTTCAGAAGGAGCTGCAGGAAGGATCACCTGATCGGGTCGTTTCAAAGCACACCGGCACCTGATTTTTTGGGTAGGTTCTATGGAGATTCTAGGTGTTGCTGCGCTTGATGGAGTGTTTACATGTCTTACGAGGGCGGTACTGTAAGGATACCCTACTTCCCCAAGCACCGATGTCTTCGAGCCGAAAGTTGTTGCACAACTTTGTGACTAGAAGTTACTTCGTTACGTGCAGTTCACTGTAATTTTGCACTGGATCGCAGAGCTTGTCTGTTTTTGCGTGGTACATGCGGCATTGCATGCTACGGTGAGTCTTGATCCTGTGTGCTCAAAAAGCCATCCTGAATCCCTTACCCTGAAACCCCTAAACAAAAAACCCGAAGCCCTGGGCGGTCAAAAAAAAACCCGTTCGAGTCTCAAGGAAGCCCAAGAGCCGGACCTCCAGAAGTCAGCTGAACCCACTACACTCAGCCCGAACCACCAACCCTAAATCCTGGACAAAGTTTCTGACCCGACATCCAAACTAAAACCATCTTCGGCCATGTGGCCCCACAACGGACATTTGGCGTCCTCAAGGGTTCGGCGTCTTGGCCTGTGCAGAGCAGCTTCTTCGCCGCCGAAATAAGAAGCGAAACAAGTGGCGTTGCTATGTACTTGTATGCATGCATTAATGTATGCATGCATGTATGTGTATGTATGTCTGTACGGATGTATGTATGTATGTGTATGTAGATACGTGACGCATGCATGAGAACACAAACACACATGTGCTTCAAGCCCAACTGTGCATATGCACATATTGCTTTTTAAGCATACACTGCATACACATAGCTTTACAAAGATGTGTGGAGGTCAAGTATGGATACGCGTGCAGCGCAAGCACACAGCCGTGGCCAAGCACAGTCACAGACACACACACACACACACACACACTCACACACACACACACACACCCCTACTTGCAGTGCACATAAAGAAATTACGGTAGTAAACAGATGTGTCTTCAACCAAGAAAGAGTGCATGTGCACAAGCAAATTACGCAGGCGAGTAGGCACACAGATCACCATTTATACACATAACCACATGACAATGACACCGCATGAATATTTATTCGTATATGTACCCTGTACACATTCCGCCTGGAGTCGCACATGAAGAATAGGCATCAACATCATTGCACGGAAAAGCAGCACTAGCGAAGAGTCTTAGCCGCGATGGAAGACCCACAAGAGGCCCCAGGCACCACAATATCACACATTCCAGGAGACAGGCAAAGCAGATCAACTCTTATGATGCTTGGTGCTCTGAGCTCGCAACTTCCTTCTTCCCTTCTCCGAACAAGTGCCCGCAACCCTGAGCAGGAAAGCGAGGCTTTGAAATATTGAGGGGCTTTTTGATATTCTGCAACAGGCAACTCCCCTTTGTTGATGGTGGCGTTCCTAACATATGGGCACGCACTACTTCTGGGTACCCTGACTCCAAAATGGGGTACCCTTGATTTTGCTGCCAGCTTCCAATCAGGGTTGTGGTGACCGGGGGAGCTGAAAACATCTGAGCGGGTAAAGCTTCGGTTTTGGGCTCAGTTGCCAAGTTGTTCTGACCACCAAAATACTGGTAGTGTTTTCCTTCTTCCTCCGCCTGGGATACACGGGCCTTTATTCTGCAAGTGGTGCCGAGTGTGTTCGCACCTGAATCCGTATGGCCATTCCAGCTGAGAGACTTCGGCTGAGTCCTACACTCGTTTCCGCAAAAGGTGCGCGCGACTCGGACCGCACTATGCCGCCGGCATTGGTCTCAAAATCAATCACGATGTGCCCTAAAGAGCCCAGAAGCCACCAAAAAGCGCCGATCCCTGCACAGACCCTAAACCCCAAAACCACCTCTAAACCTGAAACACAAAGGCTGCAATGCCCCAAGATCCAAAGCCTGAAACCCTAAATCCCCGAACCCTTAAGCCTAAACTTTAAACCCTACAGGCAAAAACCTCCAAACCCTGTAAATACAGCTGCAAAGGCCCAAACCGTAAAACAATAATTGTGGACCTCTAGTATAGCCACAAACAAACCTCCTGGATACCCTACACCCAAAAACCTCTAAACCCTAAACCCCAAACCCCTTAAACTAGACATCCCTACACCTTTCACACCAGGCTTGCCTGAAGGGGACAGAACTCTTGCCGCGGACGAGGTACCAACGTGCAGCCTTAGGATTTGAGGGTTTTAGGGGTTGAGGGGATTTTGGATTTTGGGGATTTGGGTTTAGGATTTAGGGAATTCCTTTTACCGGCGAGCTTGGAGGGTTACAATGTGTAAGAGTTCTCGTACAGGGGTCGTAATACTTAGAAAACAAACCTTAGAAAGATAGTTCTAAGTTGGTTTGGGGATAATTGTATTGAGGTATACTTATGTTTGGGTAATGAAGGGGGTTAATTGCTCAATATGCCGACCCCTACCCGCGATCGACCTAAGAAGTCTCTATCAAAGTCTCACAAGGAAATATTTAAATTCGAGACTCGTCGTACCGCCTGCCATAGACCCCATCATCGAAACCCCGAACCCTCATGCTTAAACCCTACACCCCGTCATCGAAACCTCAAACCCTCAATGCTAATCCCTAAACCCTCCTGCCCTAATCCCTCATATCATTAGAATAGGGTTTTGGGGCCCAGTATACCATATTTATAATAAGGAATCCCCAGAATAGTGCAGGTAATTATGTATACGCCGCTACATTAATCCCCAAACCCGAAGTCTTCATACCAAACACCCCCATGAAAACGGTCGAGCGGCCCTGTGGAGTGCAGCTCTTCCTCAGGCCCTCCGTGGCGTTGCCTCCTGGCGATGAGGTCGTCTTTTTGGATGGCGTTTTGTGTAAAGGGATCTCGAATCTAGGAGTCTATAAGGGGTTGAGAGTAGGTTTAAGGATTTCCGGGCTCGTTTTTGTTTTTTAAGTTGGGGTGGCGCAGGGCTTTAGGGTCCAGGGTTTGGGGAGTTTACGGCCATTATACGCAATACTCCGGGCTTGGGATGTACGTAGTGCTTCGGCAACATCCTCTCAACCAACCCGAGGTGTCACACGAGAAGACTTGCGCAGCGAATCCCTGCAGCCCAACATGTCCCAACCAGGCTTTATAGGAACCTTAGGATATAGGAGTCTGAAAAAACGAGGGACTCAAATCTAGTACCCTAAATAGTAGGATCCTTATTATAGGAACACCAAAATGGGGTACCCCTAATCTTCGGAAACTTCCAAAAAGGAATCGTGGTTGTAGTTGCTGCCCCCTACCATGCTACCGCGTGCCCGATGCTTCGGAAGGCGCACCGTGTTTCAGCACGGATTCGGCCAGGTCTGGGCGGGGGATTGCCAGGGCAGCATAGGCGTAGTAGGCCTGCAGCGGAGTGGCCAAGAGAAGAATGCCTTCTTAGCAGTCCAACATCCTGCTGTGGAAGCACAGCTCACCAAGGCCAAAGAGTGCAATTTTTTCTGGTGCCAGACTCAGCTGACTGTGACTAAACAAAGCTGCTTCTGAATCGATCATTAGAGGCCTTGACATTCAGAATATGGTTTGGGCATATTCTACATTTGTTAATTTTGGGACCATAAGGGAAGACTGACTTACGTGAGCTCAAGCTGAACATCCGGCCTTCCGCGGTACGCGCTCCACAGTCAAAAGACCCCACCTTTCAAGCACATGCCGGGTGAACCAAAAGGATCCCCGGAAGGCTATTGCTGCGAAGTGCCAATTTCATTCCACCTTCAGGCAACCTGCTCTTGAGCTTATGCTCTCCCAGACATGCATGCTGAGTTGGGGGTTGACTTCTGCACATCTGCTAAAGCTGACAAGACGAGTACACAGGCACAGGCACGGCGAATGAAAACTCTCTGAGCTTCACGGTGCTTGCAAACAACTGAGTGATGATCCCCACAGCTTGGAAATCCTGTGCACGAGGCATATTGCAGCTTTCGAACTATCATACTCTTCACCCCCTCAGCCCTAGACCCTAGAGGCCCTAAACCTTTATCCCTAATTCCGAATCGCCAAACCCAAAGAAGCTCCAAGAGCATCAAAGACAACAGCGCCGAGCAGAGGCTCTTCAGCGAGCAGGAACTGGGAAACGATCAAGGGCTTGCGGTATAGGGTAGAGGGTTTAGGGTGTAGGAGGGCATAGTTCGGAGGGTATGGGGTTTATAAGGTATAGCCCTGGATCGATAAATTGGCAGCCCAAGAAAGCTCTCTCGCAAGAAATGCTAAGAAAGTAGATCATAAGAACACATTATGGCAACCCACTAAAATAGTATACCACAATACCATCGTAACTTACAATCGGCGGTGTACTAATTGAATACACGAGAATTTTATGCAAGGCTGGAGAGACCCGAGGCTCAAACCATTCCTCGTTGAAGACTCGGTCGGGAAAAGGGCCGCCTGGCTCCGCATGGCTTGAGGCTCTGAGGAATGCGATGTTTCATGGAAGTCATTAAACTATCGTCTCTATAGACAAATTTCCTGATCTTCCCCATATGATAAGTATAGCTATGCTATGTTCATGGTATTCTTAACTAATTACGGCCTTTATAAAAATACAGAACGGGGGACCCTGGGAGTGCGCATCTGCCGTGATTTACGCGCCCCTCTTTCAAAAAAACCAACAAACCATAAAAACCAAAAAACCATAAAAACCATAAAAACCAAAAAAACCATAAAAACCAAAAAAACACATAAAAACCAAAAAAAACAAAGATCTGACACTCTCCGGCCATGGACACCACAGTCCAGGAGTCTCTGATAATTGTTTTTTTTTTGTTTTTTTTTTGTTTTTTTTTGTTTTTTTTGTTTTTTTGGTTTTTTTGATTTTTTCGAAAGACTCGCGCGTAAATCACGGCAGATGCGCACTCCCAGGGACATAACGTAGCATGGCCAACGTATGCGACTAGATAGCAGTGCGAAATACCGCACTTGCACATCAGCACTTTTTGTTCTCAGGATGATGAGAAGCTTTGTGGGTATGCGAGGCGCATCAAAACTACAGCGACGTCACCTTGAGTGCAGACTTCATATCGTACACACACAAGCAAACACTACATAGTTCTATATGGATTGCTATTTGGGTATCCCTGCTTGACTTCATATAGAGACTTATATAACATATAATCAAGGTTATGAACATCGACAATAATGAACCAGTATCGTAATAACGAACATGAGATTAAAGATAAAACTTCTATTAGTATCCAATTACGATATTTAAAATTAGCAAATATTTTTCTTATACAATAACGTTATGATAAACAAATAAATAATTATACAAACAAATGAAATAAGCTAGATTCATTAATTATGCCTTCGTCATTCTGGTAGGCTACTCGGCGCCTGCGTGATATAGCGATCAATTATCTGTCGAACTCCGCTTGTTTTACAGTAACTACCATTTTTAGTGTTAATACGAGGACTATTAAATGGGTCTCTGAAATATATATATATATATAGGTAGATACCGATTCGTCGATACTTTGTGTGATTGTTTTTCTAACAAAACAAAGATGAAGTGTATAGTACTGGTGATTATATTGTTGTAAATTGGTATAGTTATTCAATCTTGTTTTAATCTCACATAGGCTCTTCTTAGTATACTAGAAAACTTGGATGTGTATAGATACCTGTGCGTGGGAAATATGTAAGTATGCATGTGTGCTATATATATATATACGTAAATATGTAAGAGTACCTATTTTTGAAATGCATGTGTAAACTGTGTTGATACAACAAATAAAATACTAGTACTGTTCTATGCGAGACCTCGTTTTCTTTCGTAAGTAAAAACTGAAGGCATAATTAGTGAATCTAGCTCACTTCATTTGTTTGTATACTTATATATTTGTTTATCATAACGTTATTGCATAAGAAAAATATTTGCTAGTTTTAAGTATCGTAATTGGATACTAATAGAAGTTTTATCTTTAATCTCATGTTCGTTATTACGATACTGGTTCGTTATTGTCGATTTTCATAATCTTGATTATATGTTATCTTATTGTATATAAATCTCTATATGAAGTCAATTATTTGGAAGACCTAGGCTTTCCTAAATGGGTGCATATCTATATATTGTATTGGCCAACAACTTTATAAGCTTAAAGAACATATTATGCTTGTATGTTAAATTATATTTCGTTCTTGTTAGAGGATTTGTTCATTGATTTATATGTTTAGCTTGTCCACATATCAATATGCGTTCTGTATTTCGATTATTCTTCTGAATATGACGAAAAATAAAATATGATAAACACATGTATGTGCCACTTTACTACGCATTTGTTGCTGGTAATCCAATATGCTTTCTATATTCCGATTATTCTTCTGAATATGTCTACAACTAAAATATGATAAGTACATTTATGTGCCACTTTACAACGCAAATGTTGCTGGTAATCTATAGAATATCGGTTTGGTGTGTATTGAAAAGTTTCGTATATCTAGTGCTATTGTTGTCTAAATTTGGATTGAATATTCGGTTATTATCGTAAAATGTATCGATAAGAGTATTAATGCAAAAGGCATGGTTGGTGATAATAATAGGAATATAATCAAATAAAATATCACGTATAGATCAGAAGTTTGTACTACATCTAGAAGCATGCTCCACACACTGATATGTGTATGTAACTATGTATGAATAGTGAGAAGTCGACATTTGTCGATTAATGTAAGGCACTTTATAATATATATATATATGTATATATAATATAATATAGTATAATATAATATAATATAATATATTATATTATATTGTAATATATTATAATAGAATAGAATAGAATAGAATATAATATAATAGAATAGAATATAACATAATATAATATAATATAATATAGTATAATATATATATATATATATATATATATATATGCATATGCCGAGCTCTCTATTATGCACAATGTCACACATACATATGAGGGTATACATATATACATATATATATATGTATATATCCGTATTTGTATATGGATATTTATATATATATATACATATGTATATACATTTATCCTTATATCTTTATCCTGTATATATATATATATATATATATATATATGCGCATGATAGCCTCATCGAATGTAAGTGCGCCATCCCGCCCTCCAAGTTCACGAAGCAAACCTGGTATATGATCACCACGAAACTCCGACATGGCTTCAGAGATACGAAACGAGAACACCAAGAAAGACTGTTTGAGCTTTCGTGGCAACGATATAACAGCTTGCGAACGAGAAAGAAAAATGTCGGTTGTGTACTCATACGTTGGTACACATGTGTGTAAACAAAGTTGAATGAATGCTTGTTTAAGTATGTGTGCGTGTGCCTGTATCCTATTCTCGCAGGTTGTTCAATAGGTGGCTCGGCCATGCGATACTTAAATTTTGTGGAAAAAGGTGCACTCCCACAGCCCCCCGGACTCTAAAAATACGTTGAATCAAGAAGTCACAACTATCCGAAGCTTCCACCAAAACCCTAACATTCAGCCTCAAATTCTCAACCCCAGACCCACAGCACTAACCCAGGACCATAATGGATGGACAACCTTTGACCCCTTAATCAAAAGGCCAAACCAACAAACTCTTAACCCCCAGCCCCAAACCCCTCGACTCCCCGTAGAACGCCTGTATAACTCCTCATAGACTGCTCATGGAGCGATATCCACTCAAAGAGGCCCGTACCAGTACTTTGAACCCTAAACCCTGGACCCCGAACCCCACCTGATTAATCCCTAAACCCTTTGCCCCCGACAGCCTCCCGGCGCCAAGCCACCAGTGTCCTGCGCCTCCGGGCCTGCAGGCACAATAGAGTTTTTAGGTTTTCAAGCTTTACGGTGGCTTGACAAACTCCTAGGTGTGAAAGCCTTCAGCCTGGGTGCTCGGTTGGGGGACATCAAACCTAGTTCGTAGATGCAGTCTACGTCCCATCCCCCAACCCTGAGCCCTCTTAGGGCTCCGGAGCTTTATTCACATGCAACTGGCAAGTAGTATCAGCGATCTGCCTGATCATAAATACTCACCCGAGCATTCCTCGATCTACATCCTTGCTTAGCCATACCCGTGTGCGCACATGTACCTGCACATTAGCATCATACTAGTCATACTAACAGTATGCATACCTACATGATGCTGCATTGTGTTACTGTATATGCACAAGTCCAATGCCGGCTTCTGCTCGCACGAGATTGAGCTGCATGAGTCAGAAGTAGATGGAAGACTGCACCAACAGACGATGGAACAGAGAGAAACACAAGAAACATGCCGAGGGACGTAGATACAACAAGACATATATGCACCCACACTGTCACGGTGACTCACACGCATAAACTGTCATGTAAACGACAGTATGCAAGCGCATGGCACATTTTTCAGAAATACAAGCGCGCAAAGACGAGTATGCGTATAGGTAACCAAGTAAGCATAAGCACATCGCAAAACACATAATTTGATACACACATGTATGTATCTATAGGTCATGATAATGTGCACAAGTGAAACTTACACATGCATATGAAAATTGACAGTGCAAGCTATACTACACTTAAGTACATGCCTACATGCATACATACGTACATACATACATATAGGCATAAGTATTAATATGCACATATACACTGGGCCCAAGAGTAACCCAGAAATAAAAAGGGTGCCCTTTTTGGTTTCAAGGGGCATATAAGGGAACCTGAACCCTAAAACAAGGGGGAATAAGGGCCTACTCTAGGTCCTAGTAAATCATAAGTAAACAAACAAAAGATGCACAACAACAACACATAACCAAATCACAGGCATACACATACACATGTGCATGTATAGAAATACATACATACATACATACATACGTACATATACACACCTACATACCTACATACACACACACACACATACATACATACATACAAACAAACAGAGAAGGACGTCCATAAGACCCGCACATACACAAACTGACATTGTCTTGCCAGGTGGCTACCGCCGCCGTCTTTCCACCACTCATCCGCTAGCTCAAAGATAAGTCCGCCAGAGCCTGGAAGACAAGTCTAGACGCTCTCATACGCCGGGAAACTACTTCACACAAAAAAGCAACGACACGACAGTTTGGGCACTTTGCTGGGGTATCCTTGTCGTTTATCTGCTCAGAGGGATCAGGTCAGAGTTCAGGGTTTCGGGCTCAGGATGTAGTTTCACTTCTTTGAGGGCCCTGTTTTGACTTTGCAAGCATTTAGGCCTTGGGTTTTGTGGTTTGACGCTTATTGGCTTCAGGACTCTGAACTTTGACGCTAAACCCTAGACCGCAAGATCTTGGGGCTTCGGGCTTCGTGAGCAGCACCCTCGGGCTCGTGCAAATGCCACCAGGAAAGATGGCGCTGTTTTCCATGATCTGCTCCCTGCCACACTGGTGTCGAAAACAAAAGCCTCTAAAACTATTTATAGTGAGGGCTCTCTATCAAGCCAAAAAAGGACATGGAATGTGATCTCAAATCGGTACACGGCTCGTTGCTCAAGACACATCGTCAGGATGCTAACCACGAAAGGAGCGGCCACAAGTCGAGACAGGCAAGCTCGTCGCATGAGCTGCACGCATTTGGGAACAGGGCGCCAGCAACTTCAAGCTTTGCTGATAAACGTGTCGGGTGGGCGTCAAGACTTTAGTTGCATAGGCTTGGGCGTCCTGCGTTGAACTCGCATTCCCACCCAAACTGACCATTGCAGTGTGTCGTGCGCCAGCTGAACTGTCAGACGGATAGGCTTTTACTAGGAAGCTCACATGAGACAGCGCAAGCCTAGGGTGCATCAGAGTCCTCGTTGACAGCAGTGATGGTGGTGTCGTACCTTCCCCAGAACGAGCTGCATTGCTCTGAAACTCCTTGAAACCCCTAAAACCCAGGGGCACGCATCCGCACCGTATTCGCCGAGAAAAAACGGCTTCGTCGATCGCTCTGCAAAGCCTGGGTCTCTCAATTGCAGGCATGCATGTGGCCAGTGGCAGCTTGAGGATATGGAAGGCCGCAATATGGACCCAAGTATCATTGAATAGCACGATCCTTAGTACAGGAACTCCGCTAAGGGACCAGCAGGGCCAGGTCTTGTTCTGGTGCTTGTTCCTGGGAATCCTACACACAGTGCCAGTACAGTAGATCCTAGACCCAGAACAACCCTACATCCTAAACTCTAATGCCGAGATCTTAAACCCCAGGCCTCCAACCTAAATCATCCTACATCGTAAAACCTAGGTCCTAAACCGCAAACCCGACATCCCAAATCCTAAGTCCCGAAACCGTGACGGGTGTTCCTACCGAGGCGAAAACGCTTGAAGAGGTCTCCGAAGGATAGCTCGTCGTAGTAGTTGACGCCCCAAACCTTTGGAGTTCGTCGGAGGGTGATGCGTTTAGAGTTCGGGGATTACGGGTTGTGGCGTTGAGGGATCTTCGGCTGGGGTTTAGGGGTTGAGTTGGGCCCGGGTTTTGGAATGAGGGTTTAGTGTGCTTCTCCGCTGCTCCGCGCTGTGATGCTGATCAAAGGCAAAGTACACCAACACTCCCAGAGCGCCAGCGCCCTCACAAGCTTCGAGGTCAGCTTTCCAGACGATTGCTCCCAGATCCTTTGAGGCAATCACATCAATTGCGTCCATCTTATGGATCACGTCCACGGGCGGAGCTTCCCCATACACCGAGGCCTCAGGAAACGGGGGCAGCTGTAATGCAAAGGTCACACGTAAGCAAAGCACAAGCCGATGGATTGGGGCCACTGTCATGCGCCCCTGCCGTTGTATATAAGCACTATTGTGTCCTCCAGCTGGAACACCTCCAAAAACCCTGACAAGAAAGACTTGTCACTTGATGCTTCTGCTCCTCTCCAGCACGTCTCGGTGAACAACTGCTGAGGCCGTTGCAACAGGATGTTGCTGATCGTATCTTTTCACAATCTTGGCCTCAGGATAGCCGACTGGCGCAGATGTCATGCATCATGGACGGCTTTTGCTAATTAAGAGCTCTGATCAGAACACCAAAAGGCAGACCCGAGCTCCTGGCCACCTCGTTTAAACGGTTACCACACTGATCCAAGTTCATGTGCTGGTAGCAGCCATTGTAGTTCCACCTTATGACGGCTGCTCCGAGGCTTGCACTTCGAGAGATGCAGGCCTGTGTTCTAGACCTTTCTGGAGTACGAGTTTGTGCACGTATACCGACATACATGCGCTTACATACATACACATACACAAACATACATAAATACATGCTTCATGAAGCTACAGACACATACATACACGTACATGCACATACAAACGTACATGCAGACATACATTTACGAGCACTTATGTGCCTAACTACTTATTTCCGCACATCTGTAGCCTACGGGGTGTCTCCACGTACATATACACCTATATAACCATCTGAGGTGGAAGGGGTGGGGCGGGGTAGGGTGCTGGGAACGGCGATCCGGCAACCGGCATCGCACGGGAACACTTTGGCAACCACACCTCAAACTCTCGCGGGAAGCCCCTGTAACGCTCCTAAAGAACCCTTTTTAGAAACCCCTGGAGGCACTCAGAGAAGCCTGACTTCGGCGATTTTTTAACGGTTGCTGGTTCTGGTTCTGAGCCGCCCACTCGTTCCCAGCCACCCACATCAAAAGGGCAGGATGATGCTTCACCTTTAGGGGCGTTTAGGGGATTTGGGGCTTGGAGTGTCCGACCTTCGGGCCTCTTACCTGTAGGGTTTGAAGACATGCTTTCGTATTATGGTGGTTGAAGGCGTAATTTTGCTCGGGTAAAGCCGCGAAGAGTCTGGTATCCTTAAATACTTACCCCCAGGCAACCGTATGCAGGGTTGAGACTTCAGATGTCAAATGGGTACATCTCTCTTGGTGGGGGATCACATCTCAGAAAGCATTCAAGGCCGAACTTATCTGAGGATCTTCGTTCCCGAAAGCCTGAGATTCAAATCCTGAGAGCCGAAAACGCCACATCTCGATCTGCGAGGGAGCTAAAACTAAATGCCACCGAAGGGGCCGCATCCACCTTCACAGCTGATGGACTTCGCTTCTTGTTTTGTGCGGTCTCAAGGGGTGTGTGAAACCATGAGTTCCGAAACCCGAAAGCCCACCATAAAGCCCCATAAGCCCTGAGCTCCAAGATGGTGCCATTTACCGCCCAAAAGGGGTGGTTCAGCTACAAAAAAGGCGCCGGCTTCTGGGCTTGAAGTGGGGGATGCCCACAACCTGAGAAGTGATGTTGAGTTCAGGAAGTTGGAAAAGTGACGTTTACCTTTCTGCACATCTCCGAATCATTCACCCTCACCTGCAGGCACGAAGCTGTTGCAAATCTCCTACATTCATTCCTATGGGTTACCATATTTGCCACAAGCAATAAATTGAATGATAAATCTTCCACCCCGCTGTCCCTGAAGCCCCGGTTAGAGCCGAGACTCCCGACTTCAACCCGAGGCTCCCCTGGGCCTCTTTCCGAACAGCTTCGAGAGGTTTCCCGGCATGGGAGTAGATGGTGTTCAGGATCTGTCCGCTTCGAGAAACAGCGGCTGACTCAGAGGGCAACGAGCATCCGGTAGAGTCTGCAGCAACTGGGTACTTGTACCACCGCTTCGGAGATTCTGCATCTCTGAAACAAAGGAACTAGACACATCCCCGACAACGGGAGTCTTGGGGACTAGTTCGAGTATAGCGACACTTCGCACTGCCAGTGATTGCAAGGTAAATCAAAACTCAGTGTAGCCAGCTTGTGCCTGGATGCCGTTTCGCCAGAGCTCGTCTAATACGGCCTTGGCTACCGAAGCAAGGATCACCCGAGTGAAATGGATTCGGCAATAGCGGAACGGCACAGAAAATTGGCCCGCTTGGTCCCCGAAGCGGGACAGTATAACGGTAACAGATTGCCTTGTCGCGCAGGCGTGTTACAGAAGGTTGGATTCGTATAGATAGCCATGCCGCTTCGTAACGCTGTGGACTGACGGACTCTATGCTGCAATGGTTCACAATGCCCCTCAGATAGGTCGGGGCAGGGCTGTCGTGTATTGTCCGAGCATCGGTGATATCACATGGAACTCGTCGAACCTCAAACAGTCTTACACAGCCTTCAACGGCTTGCGGCTGATTATCCGCCTACTGCCTGGACCCCCAGTCGCTGATTTCTGGCCCATGATTCTGGGGATTCTGTGATCATGTAATATGTCATGCCTGCTACGAGCCCCGATGTCCCAAGATTCTCCCCCAGTCATGATACTAAATGCATTAAATGCAGAATCCTCAACTCGGAACCTTAAACTAAACCCTAAACTCCTGAGCCCCTGACCAAAGATGCTAAACTCAACAGTACCACTGCAGGAAGTGCAGGTGAAGCCCTGAATTCTGCCGACCGCTGAGATCCCAGCCTGGTCGGTCACGGTTTCATACGTCCTTGCTTTTCAAGCATTTTGGAAGATGAAGGGCAGCATGCTCGGAAGTTTCAAGCTTCGCGCCGGGAACCGCTCTAAAACGGAAAGCCAGTAGTTGAGGATGTTGCATTAAGTCATCATATTAAGCGAAAAAAGGAGTTATGGCGCAAGCATCTCGGATCAGAGTCCAGCTCAGAGCAACTCCCACTCAGATAACAATCTCAGACCCAGCTGCCGCGAGCCTTCAAGAGCACATCAACACCAGGATCTTATTTTGGGGGCAATAAGAAGGGCCACACAAAGAGAGTTCCGTGACAGCACATAGCAGTATCCTTGCGTGCCCTCTCTTTCGCAGGCTGAACCCGTCTTTCCCGAACCTGTCCTGACCACGTTGACGCCGGCCTGCGCGAAAATCAATCCCAAGCTCTTCGCTGAAGCTCCGCGGGTGAGGGTTGGAGGGTAATTCGAAACCCTGAACCCTGTGTGGCTTGGATCCTACGATTCTCAAAGCTCAGCTCTCCGACCAAGTACCGGCAGCCTAAGCGTCCCAGCAGATGCGGTGTGCCTCTGCCATGATGCGAGCGTCTCGCACTACATAGTCAGCGAACGCGAGGCCTTAGGACCCAAGGCGATAACACAGCATCCAAAAACATCGCAAACACATGAGCACTAATAAGAGCACTGTGCAGAGGAGCTGACTGGATACCTGATCAATGATAATGCTCCCCGACAGACTTTCAAGGGCAGACTCAATGCTTTGAGCCTCTTCGGATCTGCTCGAACCATCGGGCTTTCTCTTAGGCAAGCGAATACTTTTTGGGATAGTGTTCGGGGGCTAGTCTGGGGTTCTAGGGTTGCCCAGATCTCGGAGACATCCGCGCGAGGTCATGTACTGTCGGTGCAATCATCAATATATCTAATGCCAATCTAAGTACTACTTGCATTAATATCTAGTCATTGCGATCTAATCAGAACTGCTACGGCTGCCATTCCGATGCTCTTGCGCAGGAGGAATTGTGATTATCGCGGACATGCTCTGCTGTGTCCCGGGCCGAAGGGGTGGGAGGCCCCAACTGCGACCGGGTTCCAGTTCACGCCCTTCATGTGCAAGGGAACGCCATTCACATAGATCCTGCAGACAACTTCCCAGTTTATGAGCAGGGTTTGAGCAATTTGAAGGGATTTGCGGGGGGAGGAGGGAATCAAAAGGAAGCAGATCTGTTTGCGGCGTTTCTGCATGTCCAGGCCACCATCGAATGTTGCATCTTGCAACGGTAAATCTTGTAGAAGGAGAAAGCTCTTTGCATGGTCAGAGAGTCTATGGAAGCACTTGTCAAACGAAAAGAAAGGCGATGCTTTGGGTTATTGGATAACTGAAACCTCTGACGCCGAAGTTGCCTGGTCACGGCAAACGACAAGCATTTCTCAAATGCTGCAACGCTGGCATGCGGCATACCCTAAACCCTGAATCGATACGGCGTAAAGTTCGACTTGAACTTTGGCATCCATTGGAGCTCAAGGGAACGGTCGAACACATGGCTGTTTCTGAACTCCTTAGTATAACTAGGAATTTTGAAAGAAACCCTGGTCCCATAACCGCAGAAGACTATGGCCCTCGAGAGCGTGCATAAAACATCACAAGCTCTCAGCTAAGGAATCTGCGTTCAATCCTATTATTAGGGTCCTTCATGCGGCTTTCAAGCAAAATCCTGAGATTCTGCCACGCTTGTTAGATTGTTTTGGGCTCCTTGAGCGGCCCCCCACCCTTAAATCTCAAAGCCGTGCACTCTAAAGTCCCCAAACCCTCCACCCCAAAGGCTCTAACCCGCCCCACCCCCCAAACCCTAAACCCCTTTAAAGAAAGTCCTCCGATCTCCTGGCCGAATGTGTGCCGGGAGGGCCGAGGAGCCATGCCAGGCCAGAGCCTAATCCGTGCGTCGTAGTGTAGGGTTTAGGCTTTAGGGTATAAGGTTTAACGGTTTAGGCTTTAGTATTTAGGGTATAAGGCAGTCTTAAAGGCTGCAGCTTTCGGGTTTAAAGTTTGAAGCTTTAGGACTTTGTTTGTGCTTCGAGTTGCAAGGCTTGGGGCTTTGGGGTTTGGGGCTTCAGGGTTTGAGGGCTTGGGGCTTTTAGGGTTTAGGTTCAGGGTTGAGGATTCAGATTAGGGTCACGGATGATGGGTGGGGTGGCTTCACAGGCACATACAAGCACCGTTGCTGGACTGTCTGCCTGCGTGTTTATAGGTCATACGACCTCCGAATGATCTTGGAGTCTGGTACTATAAGAATGATGATGATATATGATGATGATGAAGATGACGATGAGGGGAGATGTAGGTGATGATCCTTGCTCTCGACTGTCTCTTTGACAACCAACGCTTCTGTCGAGAAGGCTACCGCGATTGTATTTCCCGAAGGAACGAAGCCGACATCTTCTTCAGGCATGGCCTGAACTCGTACGTGTGCCAGAGTGCGCATGTAATGCCAGCCGTCATCTAGCCTTGAGAACACCACCTATCACACGACTTGTAACCACCATGAAGCCAAGACACGTGAAGTTTCTTTGATTGCCCCAAAGCGTCCGCAATTAAGTGTTACCCTGCAGGTGGCCTGATTCAGACCCCTCTCCGGCGACTCCACATATCTGGTATCTAATCCGCTCTGAGCTCCTGGCGATAAGGAGGACTGTCAATCCACGCAACATCTCTACATCCCGTTAAAACAAAAATGGCTGGCAGCGCAAGTCAGGATACACAGCGTTTTACAGGCAGCTTTCCAGAGGTGCAGCCTTCGGAGGGCTTAGTTTCCCTAGACAGTCCACGGAGCAGAGTTGATGTACTTGCGGGATCGAGGATTGAGGGCTTGCTTGGGGCTAGCTCGTCGATCCCAAAGCTATGAGTTCTCATCCCAACTCCCTCGACTGGCACTAAACTCTCAACCCTGGAACTCGAAAGCCCAGACACAAAAAATCGTTCAACCCTCGTAGCCCTTTTACGGCTTCAAGGCGCTAAGGTCTTAAGGCTTTATGTATCATAGGCTTAAGGCTTAAGGATTTTGGGGTCGAGCCCACCTAAAACCCTCGAAGCCCTTAAACCCTAAACGTTGCACGTGCGTGGGCTGCCCCAAGCTGCATCGTTGAAGCCGGGCCTTCAGCCCTACGAGTTTAGGGCTTCAAGTTTCTAGGCTTAGTTGAGCCCTGGTTTCCGATCCTTTTTGGGAATCTGAATTGCGACGCACGTATTTGCGCGGTCTGCAGGCTCGGGCACTTGGCAGGGCAACATGGTGCTGGGGTTGGAGGTCTTTGGCTTAGGGTTTAGGCCCCTAAACCCTCAACTTTAGGGTTTGGGGCCCCGACCTCTGCTGGCGGAGAGAGTGGACTCGCCGGGGAGCAGAACCCCCCCTCTCACCTATTCCTCCCCGCTTCCCTCGTCTCTTGCTTGCGGCGAGGCAAGACGGGCTAGCTTACCTGAATCGTGAAGTTGATGCCAAAGCCTGGAAATTCTGTGGATGTGTCTTGCACTTTGTTGCGAAGCTTGATTTCACTTCCAACATACGGGAGTTGTTTACGAGACCAGTGACAAGTGTGGTACGATGTTTAGAGTAACGTCCATGGGATAACGCAGGGAATATGCCCCTTGTCCCGTGGAATTATTGCTCAGAGCCTCAGCATGAAAACAAATATTGACATTGAAAAGCGTCTGAAGCAGATGCACTGATTTCGCTCAAGACCTCACCTGTTCGACCTACATGTTGCTTTCCGAAATTCAGGTACAGCCGGGTCGAGGCGGACGACGCGAAGCGTCTAAACTCTAAACTAGGGTTTACGGAAAATTAAAGGTGCAATTCGGGTTTAGGGTTTGGCTTCAATTACAGGTGCAATTACGTTTTCAGTTTCAGGGTTTTGGGGCTTCGGGTTTCGAGATTCCGATGCTTCAGTCTGCAGGGCTTGGACTCCAGCAGCGACAGTTCCGAAGTAGCGGAGCAGACATTCCACACCTGGCACAAGGCATTGCGGTGAAAATCCATCAACACAAACAAGCTGCAGGCCGATGAGACCTCAGCCCGGAAGAAACCACCACACATCCCAAACGTGCGCGTAGTTCCTACGACCACGCCGACACCTGGTCAAACGAGACAGGCAGACTACCGCCATCACTTCGCTCCTGCAGCGAAGGCATGGATTCTTCAAGGCCCCTATCACATATGGAGGTTCCTTACTCAAGTGTATACCCCACAACAAGATTCGATTTATATTTGGGGTTCCACGGGGGGACAGGTCAGGCGGCCATTCAGGTTCGACATTCGCGACCCTCGGCCACGGTCGCGTGGTGCATCTGAGGGCCTGTTTGTTCGGAATGATTTGGTCGCGGTCTTGAATTTGTCTGCAGCCGAGCACATCGTTTCTCTGCAACCCTTTTTGTCGATTGGCTTTATAGGCTTCTTCTGGTATCTGTGCAGCACAATACCCCCAACCCTAAATAAGACCGTAAGGGAACTCAACAAGTGTCCCCCAAGATCCGCCTAGTAAACCGGTTCTCGATTCTTCCAACGGCAAAAAGCATCGGGCCCGGCTGCTCAAGACCTACGTGCTCAATTTGCGGGTCTCGGATTCAGGCCTTACCTCTAGTACGGTTTGGGTTTAGGATTTATAATTAAGCTTAAACAGAGTAGTCAGTAGTCTCCATTGTAATTCCGTGATTTGGTGTAACCAATCTTATATCTAGGATCCTATAGTTTAGGGTAGCCCGAGAAAGGGAACTACGACGGAGACAGGATGCCAAGGACTCCAAAGGCTAGCAAAGTGCTTCGTGGCTTTTCGGGACATGGGATCCTGATATTATTGGGAGCATTTATGCAAAGACGTTTCGAGTTTGCTCAGCAGGGGTACTACGCCGAGCTCCCCATTGTTTGCGCTTCTCTTGTTGCTCGTGCAGGGGTCGCATGAGCGTCGTTGATGAGCGCCGGGTTGAGCTGCCCCAACTAAAGACCATAGCTTCCCACAAGAGTTTAACATACAGTGAGCGAACGTCGGGGCATGCTCAAGGTCTTTAGGCTCGCGGCTCACCTTAGAAACTGCACAGACATCCAAAGGGGTTATCGGGCCAACAGGATTGAGGATTTAAGGCGTATAGGTTGAGCGATGGGTCGGACAACGAAAGACCTCCCTAGCTAGCGGTCCTTCAAGTGCTCTGCAGCGCTGGAGAACTGCTCAAGCGATCGTGGCTTCCGCCATCTGCACCTGCGTTCGGGAGCCCCTGGCATTCAAGGAGCTTACAGGGCGGTGGTGTATCGACAAGTCGCGTGAGGGTGAGATTCGACCACAGAACGGGTACGCCGTGGAGCAAGTCTCCGAGGCTGCACTTGCCCTCGAGTTTCCTCACCCCAGTGAACTCCTAAACCCACCTACGCCTCAAAACTCCACCGACTTTTCAACCCAGCTGACGACACAAACATCACTCCAAGCCTAAGCTCCTGAACCTCTGCACCCAAATCAACCCTAAAGCCGTGACGTGAAGCACTAGAGTTACCGATGACGTGGACACCGCCTTCTAGACCCAAAGCCCAAAGCCCTAAAGCCCACACCCTAAACGTACCTCCCGCGAGTCCATTGCTTGCATCGTTGAAGTCAGGGAATTTTGGGGCTGCGGGTGCTGTTTTGGAGTTCTGTGGGGTTCGAGGGTTTCAGATTCTGCTTTAGGTTCTGTTTGCGGGTTTAGGGCTCGGGGCTTTGGGTTGTGTTGTAGGCTTAAAGTTCTGCATTAGGGTTTCACAGGTGCAACAGGCTCCGACTTCGGGGTTGAGGGCTAGGGTGGAGGGGTTTGAGCTTTGGGCAGCTCAGGGTTCCTTGCGGTGTCTGGAGATGTTGGCGGATGATGGGCTCATGGCTGCAGCTCGGGTGGCTGAAGCGGGCTGTGGGGCCGAAAGCTGCAACAGCAGGATGTGGGAAATGATAGCTCCTCCGCGTGAACGTTCGCTCCTGCCGTTCAACTGGAACCAGTGGTCAAAATCTTCGTCGCCATCACCAACATCTCCGGCATCATGATGACGACCAGCTCCATCATCATCATCATCATCATCGTCATAGTCATCACTTCCGATTCCAACTTCATCATCGAAACGATCGCACTACGGGTTTTATGGGTATGACCAGGGCTATGACGGTGGAGTAGACAACAAATGCACAATGACCATGCCGCTGCGGCGGCTGATGACCATGATGATCACGGTGCTGACGATGAAACTGATGATGATGATGATGGTGATGATGATGATGACGGTGGTGATGTAGTATCCAGTCATGAGGACAACGCTGAGCCGTGCTCCACGAAGATCTCGAAAGGTCCATAATCTACGCAACAGTAAGGGGACCGGAAGCTCAAGGCTGAAATGATTGCCTCACTGAGCCCTATTTAGCTACAGGGATTTTGGGATTTTAGGATACTACGAAACGCTAAACCCCGAAATCCTAATGATTAGGCATTTGGGTTTAAGATAGTAAGGGAGGCTCGTATTTGGGAGCATGTGTGATTAAAAGAATTCTGGAAAACTTCAAACTTTAAGCCTGAAGCACTAAACCCTGAACCCCCTTGCAAGCCCTAAACCCTAAACTATTAGATACTTGGACCCTTTGACCGTTGAGCTGCAGGTTGGAGCGTGGGATTCGAAGCTGTCTGCACCCCCCCCCCCCGCTTGCTGAACCCTATCTCAAACATATTGCCCTCTCTCAGCATCTTTCAGCCCTGCTTTGTTTTCCGACTAGCATAGTCATCTCAAGGTCTTCACTTGCGAGAAGAGAACAAAAGCTGCTTAGAAGGCATACGTGATCATACGTGTGTGATTAAGGGTTTCGGGCTCGTAGGATTTTGAATCTTTGGGTTGAGAGGGGAGTCAAAAGCATCTCGTTATGGCTGACACGCGGCTCTGCCGGGATGGCAGCTGAAACTTGGGTGAAAGCTGAAGCGCACGACAGGCCTAAAAACGAACTGCAAAGCCAGGGAGCCACAGCTTCTAACAGAATTCAGGCAGCATGCCCACGCTGATGCTCTCAGCTCTCGGACGTTATTTCCCTTTAGCTTTGGCTTTGCACTCGTCAGGGCTGTAGTGGGTGCCGCGGACGGTGCCCCCGCCAGCGTTACCTAGATTTCGCCAGAAAACGTTCTCGTTCACGTGATTCTCGCTCAGCTCGAGGGCCCTCTCGAAGCAGTCCTGCGAGACAATAGTGGCGACTGCTCAACAACGTTGGAAGCAGTGGGCAACAAACAAACCCTCAACCTCCCGCGTACGCCCGGAATCCGCAAAGTCTGACAGGCCCCAATCCCACCCACCGGTCCTTCTTGTCATAAGCCCTGCCCTTCACGGTCCCGCCGCCTGCTAGATCTCCGAGGCTGTCCCAATAATTAGCATTCTTCTCATCGAGCTCCAGTGCCTTGAGAATGCACTCCTGCAGGGCAGCAGCACCCCGGTTAACGACCTCGCGCCCACGGTTGCACATGGACTTCGAACGGCCACATGTAAACTTGAAGTGGGTTCCTCTGTTAAAAAGATGTCCGATGACAGGTGGCCGAGGCCTGTGCCTGTGTTTAGCCCTGTGTCCAAAGCGATGCAGCAGGGCTGTACGGGAAGAACTCTGTATTACAGAATATTATAGTCTTGGGTGAATGGCTTCCGGTTTCAAGGAGCTTTGGGCGTCTTTCGGCTCATCGGTTTCCCACTTCTGCGACTACAAACCCTCGGCCTCCCATCTAAGTGCGAAGTCTGACAGGCCGTTTTGATGATGCGGATTCAGGTTTCAGGGAGCTTCGGGCGTCTGGAAGGTCATTGTGGAATTTCCTACTTTGACTGCAGAAACCTGCTCAGCGAGCAACTAATGCTTAAGCTTGGGCCTCCCAAAAGTACGCCTGGAAGCTGCAACGTCTGACAGGCCCGAAGTCAAACACTCCGCCGCCGGTCCTTTGCGTCATAAGCCTGGCCCTTCACGGTCCCACCGCCTGTATTTCCGAGATTGTTCCACGCCCCCGCATACTTTTCATCCACCTCCAAAGCCTTCACGTAGCAGGCCTGCAGGGCGGCGGCAGCGGGGGTTACGACTTGGCGCCCTGGCTGCATGTAGACTTCCAGCATCCAAAAGTCTAACTGAAATGGGTTTCTTCAAACCTCCAAGATCGGGATCCAAGGCTTTCCAGAGTGGCTATAGACTGTGCAGATTGTTTTTGCGGGAGGATTTTGGGGTTTGGGAGTTCTGGGTCCGAGGACTGCGCATGCAGGTGGATGTTTTGGGAGGATTCGTAGCTTTGGACTTCTTTGGCCCTCACTGGGGGGGGGTCTCTGCATCATGGGGCTTCAGGTTTCAAGGAGCTTCGGGCGTCTAGAAGGTCGTTGTGGGATTTCCTACTTTGACTGCGGAAACCTGCTCAACGGGCAACTAAGCTTGGGCCTGTCATTTACGCCCGGAAGCTGCAACGTCTGACAGGCCCAAAATCAAGAACTCCCCCGCCGGTCCTTTGCGTCATGATCCCGGCCCTTCACGGTGCCACCGCCAAAGGTTCCGAGGTTTATCCACGCAGTCGCATTCTTTTCATCCACCTCCAAAGCCTTCACGTAGCAGGCCTGCAGGGCGCCGGCAGCGGGGGTAACGACTTGGCGCCCTGGCTGCATGTAGACTTCCAGCATCCAAGAGTCTGACTGAAATGGGTTTCTTCAAACCTCCAAGATCGGGGTCCAAGGCTTTCCAGAGTGGCTAGACTGTGCAGATTGCTTTTGCGGGAGGATTTTGGGGTGTGCATGCAGGTGGATGTTTTGGGAGGATTCGTAGATTAGGGCTTCATTGACTCACTGGGCTGGAGTCTGGCTTTGCAGGGGGTTTGGGGGCCAGGGCCAGGGATTTGCGGTCTCTTATGTGGCGTCAGGTTTCAAGGAGCTTCGGGCGTCTAGAAGGTCATTGGAATAGTACTTTGACTGCAACCTGCTCAGCGGGCAATTGCAAGCTTGGGCCTCCAAAATTACGCCTGGAAGCTGCAAAGTCTGACAGCCCAAGTCAAGCACACCCCGCCACCGGTCCTTCCGGTTATAAGCCTGGCCGTTCACGGTCCCACCGCCTGTATTTCCGAGATTGTTCCACGCCCCCGCATACTTTTCATCCACCTCCAAAGCCTTCACGTAGCAGGCCTGCAGGGCGGCGGCAGCGGGGGTTACGACTTGGCGCCCTGGCTGCATGTAGACTTCCAGCATCCAAAAGTCTAACTGAAATGGGTTTCTTCAAACCTCCAAGATCGGGATCCAAGGCTTTCCAGAGTGGCTATAGACTGTGCAGATTGTTTTTGCGGGAGGATTTTGGGGTTTGGGAGTTCTGGGTCCGAGGACTGCGCATGCAGGTGGATGTTTTGGGAGGATTCGTAGCTTTGGACTTCTTTGGCCCTCACTGGGGGGGGTCTCTGCATCATGGGGCTTCAGGTTTCAAGGAGCTTCGGGCGTCTAGAAGGTCATTGTGGAATTTCCTGCCCTGACTGCGGAAACCTGCTCAACGGGCAACTAAGCTTGGGCCTGCCATCTACGCCCGGAAGCTGCAACGTCTGACAGGCCCAAAATCAATCACTCCCCCGCCGGTCCTTTGCATCATAATCCCAGCCCTTCACGGTGCCACCGCCAACGAAACCGAGGTCGCTCCACGCAACCGCATACTTCTCATCCACCTCCAAAGTCTTGCGATAGCAGGCCTGCAGGTTCAGCGGCAGCGGGGGTAACGACTTGGCGCCCTGGCTGCATTTAGACGTCCAGCATCCATAAGTCTAACTGAAATAGGTTTCAAGACCCCCCAGAGTGGCTAGACTGTGCAGATTGTTTTTGCGGGAGGATTTTGGGGTGTGCATGCAGGTGGATGTTTTGGGAGGATTCGTAGATTAGGGCTTCTTTGACTCTCTGGGCTGGAGTCTGGCTTTGCAGGGGGTTTTGGGGGCCAGGGCCAGGGATTTGCGGTCTCTTATGGGGCTTCAGGCTTCAAGGACGGGCGGTCACTGTGGAATTTCCCACTTTGACTGCAACCTGCTCAGCGGGCAATTACAAGCTTGGACCTCCCATTTACGCCCGGAAGCTGCAACGTCTGACAGGCCCAAACTCAATCACTCCCCCGCCGGTCCTTTGCGTCATAATGTCGGCCCTTCACGGTGCCACCGCCAACGACTCCGAGGTTTCTCCACACAAGCGCGAAGTTCTCGTTGAGCTCCAAGGCCTTCACGAAGCAGGCCTGCAGGGCGGCGGCAGCGGGGGTCACGACTTGGCGCCCTGGCTGCATGTAGACTTCCAGCATACATAAGACTAACTAGAAACGGGTTTCTTCAAACCTCCAAGATCGGGATCCGAGACCGGAGCAGGAAATGGCTTTAGAGTCTCAGTGGCTTGACTGTGCAGACTGTTTTCGCGGGAGGTTTTTGGGGAAGTTTGGGACTTCTGGGCCTTCAAAAGACAGCGGCCTCAAAGTTGATGAGCGGCGAATCTTAGGGCTGGCAGAAGCGGTAACGGGAGGTTAAGAGTTTGGATTGGGGTAAGAATCTTTTCGTGGTTATAGCTTTCTAGCTTTTAGGCCTTTATCATTGTGGGCTCCATCTTTGTCCAGGAGACCTGCAATTCCAGACACCCGCGTCCTTCAAACTCCCTGGAGATCCACGAAGCAGTCAACAGTATAGATCATAATACGTCTGCAGGGGGTGGGGTAGGGGTCATCAAATGGCTACAGGTCTGGGGGTTTCAGGTGCATAGTGGGCTCGTGCTCTACATATATGTTTGGGCAGCTCCAGCCTTCTGTGAGTAGCTCTGGCCGTTGCGCTCGCCCCCGCCTTTTACGCCCAGATTCCAAAATGCCTGGCAGCATGTGCAGGACAAGCTGACATGATTCTTCTAGAGTACAACATCTTTTCTTGTGAACGCCGTGTAGCTGCTTGATCAAAGCTGTTTGTGACTGCTTCGAGATCGAGAGCTTGCAATGAACGCTCAGCACAACACCTGAATGCCAATGTGCCTGAGTACGGAGCCACGCGACCCAGCCGGAGCCATCGATGCGAAGGAAAACAGTTTCCGAACAGATTTGCAAGGCAGCAGGTCGTGCGTCGCGAGGCGATGTAGCCGTCTCATCCCCAAACCAGCAGTGTTACAACGAAAGCATGATCAGCTGCCGACAACGTCTCAAGAGCCGATTGATGCCGAAAACTTTGTGTCCTGCTTTCCTTCCCTCCAGCCCATGCAATGCTCCCGTCCCATGGTTGCAAAGACCTTCCTTGGGCATACAGGTGTCCCTGGCCTCGGAAAAAGCAGCTGCTTGGTCCTCACAATATACCCTAATTCCAAGGAGGGCCTCTGTATCTGAATCTAAACGTCGCAAGATCCCCTGAAGTAACCATGCTGCCTCGAATCCAATCCCTGGCGGGTCCTGCCTCGGCTTCTTTGACATCTGCGGGGCTGGGCGAAGCGCTCGGGACCAGGGCCTTCGACGGAGTGAGTCGGTTTCGGCCTCGAGACCCTATAGGACTCGGCACTTCGGGCCCAGCTCGATCTTTGCTTCGGCTATTATATGGTTGGCTTCTGAGTCTCTGGGCTGGGGGGGCGTGGTATGCCAGAGTACTGTGAATGCGCTTCTCTGGCGCTTCTCTTGCGAACACCATGCAGCTGCCATGTAACTGCCTGACTTATTGCCTTATTGAAATCGCAAGCCGTACATATATTGAACGCTCAGCACGACACCGGAACCCCCTCGAGCTCAGCTAGGCGCGACGAAGTCGAAGCAAGCGATGCGAAGGAAAACAGCTGCCGAGCGGATTTACAGCGCATGAGGTGGGCAACTTTAGCCCGATCATCGCCAAGCTTGCCAGCCATGCAGAGCCGAGGAAGCTGCCACGGAAGCCATGTGTGAATTTGTGGTGGATGTTTTGTCGAAGGATCAACAAACGGCCGCCTGCAACCTGAAATTCAGGTCACCAAACGAAAGGCCTCTGTCCCGGTCTTGGCATCCCTCGAGGTTGCGGGTGCAAGTGCCGATTGGCAGGCTTCGAGAGTTCGACGCATCCAGGACATTCTTCCATGCCAAACTCCTGTGCGAAGGAACTTACGGCGCAGAAGAGAGTCTCCTTCAAAAGCACGTTTGGAAAAGGCGGTTCAACAAAAACTCTTCTTGCCAACTCGACTCGTTTGAAGGCCTTCTCCGACCGCCGCGCAGCTCTGCGCGGCCGCGGGTTTAGGGCTTTGTTTGTCAACTTATAGTTGGGAATGGAGGAATGGGGTACAATTATAACTACTATTACTACCATTCTTCCATTCCCTACTAACCAAAGGTAAGCTTAGCGCTTGCAGAGAATCTCCTGAACCGAACTGAACACCTTGGCAGCTGAGGCAACAGTAGCGAGGACCCCCGAAGCCTTTCTTTTTGGGAGCTGCACATGTAAGGCCGGATACCTTCTGCAGCCTTTGAGGACATGTTTTTCCTGCAATGTAGCAGAATGCATTGTATGATATGATGTACTGCAGTTATATTATTGCATAAACCCTGAACCCTAAACCCTAATTAATCCGTAAATATGCTGTGTATATTCACTTAGTTCCGATCCCACGCGGTGCAGCCTTGGCTTCTTCACCGGGGCCCTGGGCCTGCAAAGAGGCTACTGCGGCAAGGATCCCGGCGTTTTCAGGGGGTTCTTGAGACTCATGGGGCTGTACCTTATGCTGGGGTGTGCTCATTAGAAGGAAGCCTATTTAGCAGGGTCCGATGTGGAGCTCCCATGTGGCGTGCGCAGCCTGATTGTGAGAAGAAGGTGCCAGGCATAGCCAGGGTCTACATGTGCTGCTGATTGCAGGAACTAAGGCGGTGCTGCAGGTATCAGGGATGCGACGTCGTGCAGAACCTCAAGCGGATGGTCTACTTCCGTGGAACATGACTAGCGGCTACAGTGCAACAAAACGTACAAGAAACGCTTGGTTGAAAGTGTAGATGCTACGCCACCGGGATAAGACAAGAAACACCAATTGCGTCAAGTACCAAGATCTGAAGAGTCCCACTTCTGGATTCGGGTTGCTGGAGCAGCCTGGAGGCCTCGGGTCTACCGGCATGCTCAAACCACCGAAATACAGTGCAGCGGGCTGCCTGTTCGTAAGTTGGGGCTTTCTCAGGCCTCGAAAAACCCTGAAGTCAGAAACCTGGGGGCGGGAGAGGGGCATCCAGCTCATTCATCATCTCCACCTCAGTTATGAAGGATCTTGATTATGTCATCAACGAACCGATCTCAATGCGCATGACCACTGCAGGTGCGCTAACCAAACTTGAGAGACTGCCGTTGGTGTGCCTTCGGTTCTGCTGTTGCTGCTGCATCCGCAACAGACGCCGCAAGGTCCTCCGGGAAGAACAACTACAGGGGAACAATACCTCAAAGGTCTTCTGTAACGGTTTACTCTATATAATTGCTTAGCAAACGCCTAAAGTACCAAATCAATAGAAATCACTTCGGGCTCGCTCCTGCTACGCCCCATGCTAGAGCAGCAGAGTGTCTGCAATAGTTGTTCTACTGGTACACTGCCTTGACACCGTTTGTAACTATTGATGCTACATGTTCTGATGTTCAGCAGAAAATTTCGAAGGCCTGCAACCCGCAGAAGCGTATGAGCCCGAAATTTGGCAGAGTCCTTGCTGCCGCCGGCCATGCCTTTCCGCAGCGCTGCGGCGATGGGCCCTTGCGGGGTCGATGACGAGGCGCCAGGATCCGCACCCTGCCAAGAACGCAGCTTGGGGAGGTCGGGTGGATGATATTATAATTCTTGAAAGCCTGCCGGACCCCGCAGAACCTGACGTGTTCGGCTATGGCTATAGCCTCTGTGCTCAGGGTTGTTTAGAAAGGTCCCGGTAGGCGCAAGCAAACTTGGAGTGTTGCGTGAAACTCGAAACCCATCTTCGAAGGCGAGAGATGCAGAGGCAAGAGCCGAAGAGCTTCTACCGCCCATGATGGACTACCCGGTATCTGGCCCGAAGAGCAGAGATCTTGTCTTGCTCCATGTTTTCAGCATTCTGAAAGACTCCTTGTGGACATTCCTTCGATGACAGCTTCACCCTACCTTCTTCATAGTATGAGCCTCGAGTAGAATGCAGGCCCATGGAACGGCCTTTTGCTACACGCAGCTAGCGGAGCTCTCAGGTGGTGGAAGATGACACGCCGCGTCGAATAATATTGACTCCGACACACGAAGGATATGGTGGCGGGTGAAATTCAAGAAGTTAAGGCCCATGGAACTCCTCCTGCGTGTATACCCCTTCTTCCATAACCAGCGAAACAGCTCCCACAGTCGGAAGTCCAATGTGAAGGCGCCCCTGCACTGCTCCACGAAGACGTTTGGTCTGTGAATTCAAGCTTTGCGGCGATTGCGCGTACACTCCGCAGTCTTGGACCGCTGTGGCTTCAGAAGTGCGTTCATGCTCCCCTATATCCAAAAACTTACCCCAGGAAGGGTGAGTTCCGAAACCCGAGACGAAAGCAAATTTTGCGGTGTGCGCAGTGTGTAATCGCATGCAGCCCAAATCGCGTGAAGATTAACAGATCTTTGAATAGAAACTTCGATGACGCATCACACGAAGCACTGGTAAACCGGCCAATGCGTGTTCGAGGTGAGCAGGAAAAGCTGAAGGTCCTGTACCACTTGAGCCCTGTCTGTATCGTATTCTTCCCGATGGTTGAGGCTTCTAATTCGTAGGTTGGTTCTGCACGACCGATTCTTCTGTGCGGGTGGAGTGTTCTGGGGGTTCAGAAGTTTGAAAAGCCATGGTTCGCGGTAGCAGGTATCAGACAGCCTCTGCTGGACCTATCTAACTCCAATGAACACAGATCGCGTAGACAGGGGAAATGGGTCCTTCTTGTTCTGGGGCTCCCTGAATCGTTCTGCCAGGCAGCTTTAATCCGTGATGCGGTTCGCCCTTGGCTATATAACACGATCATACTTGGGGCATCAAGTGACTTATAAAGTATAAGGATCATACATGTCCTTAATTAGGGTCAAGAGTCACTGCCTGTAATTATCCTTAGTTGCCTTAGTTACTAAGTCTCATGATCCTTGAAGTAGGGCTGCTTGGCACTGTGATTTATGGTGGCATCCTGTTAGCACAGCATCATTGCTGAACAAGCTTCCTCTGTACTCATGCTTATGAACTTTCTTAGTAGTATCTGTCAGACTCTAGTACCCAACTGGACATGTCTCTGAAATAGCACATGCATAAATAAACTTTGAGCCCAACACTCAGTGAAATGAAGTAGGGTTTCTATTGCAAGTATAACATAACACCATAATTTTACCAAAGTCTGCGCTCACCCTGCTTCAGGATCCCAATCCCTCGCTCTCCAGCCTTGGCTTCCGGCCCAGTGGATGCTGCGGTAGGTGGTGACGGGAGAAAGCCTGCAGCCTTGCAGAGGCGCGGTTAGAGTTCTACGCAGGCGACATCACCAGAATCATTCAGGCTACTTGTAGCAGAATGAGGCCATGACTCATGAGAAGTTATGCTGCAGGAAAGTCTTATGGACAGGTCAGTCTATGGGCAGCCTCGGCATCCTTGGGCGAAGCTGCTTTGGCGGTGCTCGGTGAGGCGTGAGAGGCCGCGCCCTCAGGAGCGACGGTGGTGGAAGCTTCCGCCTTAAACCCCGAACCGTGGTGCAAAAGTCTGCGGAGGTGGGACTCAGGGACGGTTAGGCAAAGGCTTGAATCCAGCAGGTCTCCTCTCACAGCTCGTTCGATGTCCGATGTCTCACCCTGGTGGACCGGTGGACCGTAGCTTACGGTGCTACTCCGCTATTATGACTCTTATAGTACTGTAGCAGTACCAGCCCGCATCACATTTCAAAATGTCTCGTGCCCGGCCTTTCCATGCCCTGATGGGCGACGGCCGCCTGGAAGAAGCGTCTCGGCAATCTGGGCAGCGATGTAGTTCGCGTCTTTGCCCCTGCAATCTACGTAAACGGTGGCCTTTCCAATCGCCAGCTTGAGAAGCCCGGCGCCAGCTCCCATCTTGTCGTACTGGTGCTCTGGGCCGGAGGGGGGTTTCGGGGGCCAGGGGTCATCGCAGACTCGGAGGGGGAGAATGTCGAGCCCGTTCTCATGGGCGACACGGAGCTCCTCGTAAGAGGAATACCGGGAGTCGGTCTTCTCGGCGTAATGTGGGGTGCACACCGCAAGCAAAACTCCCTTTTCGTCTTCGAGTTTGCCGAGGTACGCTGCTGTCATTTCTCCGAAATTTTTGCTTGCCGCTGCGTCCACCATGAGCACCGGGTAATTCTTCTCTTTCAGAATCTGGTAAACTCCTCGGAATAAGGTCTCGGTGGGGCCGCGGTCAAACCTTGCCGAGAACATCCCAACCCGAGCGTTTGTTCCATCTGGTATTTCTTCTGCGCCGCCCACCTGGCACAAGGCTCACTCCGGACAAGTCCCAAACCACCTCTACCTCAAAAAGCCAATAAGCCCCAAGCCCTAAGCCAGAAAATCCAAAACCCTTCCCGCATCACAGACTCGAGCACAACAGGTCGGACAGGCTTTGGCCATCGTGCAGTGGCTCAGATCCTGCAACTTCCGCAGTGTACAGGGGTGGGGGCGTACGGTTTGGGGTTCAGGGTTTTGGGTTCTGTGCAGAGATTCGAGTTGGGAACTTGCGGAAGTGCTGACTCAATACCCTCAGCATGCAGGCAAGTTGAGAATCGAACAAACCAGGTCGTCGGTAAATCGTTGCGAGCCTGTGAAATCACTGTAGCTACTAACTCTCACGTGTTTGGGCAAGCTGTTGCAGACTGCCCTTCGCCAAGCGATCGAGAACATGGCCGACGATGATCATTTTATGTCAATGCTAAGACGTATGTGCCAAGATGTCTCCAGAATGGGCATCATGCACCCTCTCCGAACTACCACTGCTCTCAATTGAAGCCGGATGGTCCTTCGACCCCACTGCAGCACAGGACAAGCGCTTCTAAGCGACACGGATCTCGGCTTTGCCGGGACCTTCGCGCACATACCAGGCCCACCCAGCTTACACGCTGTGGTTGCCTTATCTTTAAGCGGACCCGTCGCCTCTACAAACCGCAGACTCTCTGTAAACCCTCACTATGACTATGCACACTAAACCCTACAAACCCCTGATATATACAAACCCTAAACCCTGTATCTTGAACTCCAAAAGCCTGAACCTAGAACACCGCCGACGTCCGGAACAAGTCTTCGAAATAGACTCCATCCCAATTGTTTGTTTGACTCTCTATTTTAAATATGTGTGCAGAATTAAAAACTGCCTGTAAAACCCTACACCCTCTACAAATCCATGTATGTGTGTGTGTGTTTGTTTACTTGTGTACATACTTACCTGCTTACTCTTTTAAATACAACTATATACACATACATATATATATATATATGTATATGTATACGCACATCCATTTCTTTCTATTTATCCATGTCTACCTACCTATCCTACCTATCTGAATATCTTATAAATCCAGATACTCATACTAACTATTGATGGAAGGTTCAGGCTTCCACTCGACCGGCTACGGGCTCTGGGCTTCTCTTCTCGGGGTGGGCTCTCCCTGCATAGACCATAATCGTATGTAGGGCTTCAGGGTTTAGGGCGGCTTAAGGCCTGCATAGGTTTTAGCTTCAGGGTCGAGGACCTGTAAGATTCAGGGAATCCTTTGGGGCTGTTAGCGGTTTACGGCTATAATACGGGCTTCGAGGCTTTAAGTTTAGGTAGACTTGTAAGGCTTTGGGGGTTTAGGGTTTAGGGCGTTTAGGTTTCAGGTCTCTGGGGGTTGCTAGTGGTTTCGGACTGATAGGGGCTTTGAGGGTTTAGACAAGAGAAGCATAGAACAACAATGTTCAGAACGATCGCAATCAACACGGAAAAGACATCGTCATAAACGGTTACGGAGAGTATACTTCAAGATAGTTCGTACGGCCTTGCACAGGCTGTGTCAGTCTCCGCAAGCATGCAAGGCCTAACTGGAGGCTTCGTCGAAATCCCTAATGTAGGAACCTGATTAAGAAACCTTGGGGCTTTATTCGGGTTCCTCATATGAACCCTAATATATTGGGGTTATAGGGTCACGGTTTCTCAATCAGGTTCCTACATTAGACCCTAAACCCTAAACTCCAGAAGAGACTCGAAGGTCGTGAAATTCCTCTCACTTCTACCGGAAACAGGCCTAACCAGATTCTCCAGCGAGCTTGGTACGAAGTGCTTGAGATACACGGAGGGCATGTACAGACCAGTAGGATATGAGAGCGAAGAGCCAACCAAAACTCAAGAAGGAAGAAACTGAACAATCCTCTGCGAAGTCAAAGGGAGGCTTTGCAGGGCTTCGTCGATTCAGTGCCAAGAAAAGCTGTGAATCCGGCAGTCGCTCCCCCCGCCACCCTTGCTACACAGCAAAGCCTGTATCAACCATCACAACATCTGTCCGGGAGTCAACTAATCCTTCGGATTCCGCGTGTGAGAAAGCTTCATTAATTGTGCTGCAAAAGACCAGCAGAACGAGGGTGCAGTCTCGGCAACTGAGTGAAAGTTCCCAAGTGCGCACCGAACCACGAAACTTAGAACCCGATGCCCTAAGCCACGGAACCACAAACCCCCAAGCATCAGATCCTAAACTAACCTGCCTGCTCCGATCTTGAAATTAGGATTCACATTAGGAATATAATTGCCTCTTCCGACAGGTTTGATTCAAGTTTGATGATGTCTGAAAGCTCTGACGGGCTCAGCGCAGCAACGAGGCCCAGGCGTGCCGGATGATTGAAGTGTCGCACCATCGAGGCAGCGACGGACATTTGGTGATAGATCTGCTTGCGAACTGTGATGTCAGGACCGACCGTCATCGAAACTGAACGTAGCCGTGCGAATGCATACCAGCTGCCCCACAAATGCTGACGGGAAGTCTGCGAGGATTGAGCCGTGAGGACGGCTGAACGGAACCGAGAAATGCAGTTTGTTAGAGTTGCCTGGTGTCCTTGTTTAATGAAACGGTGTCTTTGGCAAAGCCCATTCCGACACTCCTGATACATGGCAATCACTGGTGGAGGAAGCCGTATGTTTTCCGACGCTTGACGCACTCCGTGCTAGCGACTCTTTCAACGGCAGTTCAGAGTAAAAAACTGTTGCGGGACGTAGTCGAGGAGTTCGAGGACAAGCAAGGCTGCACGACTCAGACTTATAGGTACCCGGCATACTTGTGTCGACAAGTTGCTCCAAAATCATTCGAATTCAGAAGTGTGCTACCGACACCGCGAAACAGCAACAGCAGCCATCCTGTCATGAGCCGAACAATCTCTTAAAGTCGAGAACGCTGAAAACCAAACAATCCTTGTTTTGAGATTGCCTTGCTAGGAAACAAGCTGAGCCCAAACCACGCTGACGCCCTAAACCCGTAAAGTGAGCGGCCGAAGTGCGGGTTTCAAGGGCAAGAGAAGGGTCGGTCGAGGCCACCAAGGACCAGCTTCGCGGGCTTAGGGTCCCGTGTTTGGGGTATGGTGCTTCGGGAGTTTACAGGGAAAAGCCTCAGGAGGCTTCGCAGCTGTAAGACCAAGAAGCCTCCTGGAGGCGACTGTTGTCATGAAGACCAAATCTGCTTAGAAACACGAGGAGCAGCTGCAAGTTCCCTCGGCTGCCAGCCACTAGGTCGCAACGCGGCTGAAGCACCAGTTTAGGATTTCAGGGCTTATAGGGTTCAGAATGCAGGTTTCAACTTTCAGGGTTTTGGGTTTGTGGCGTTCAGGGTTTAAAGGCTTTAGGGTCCAGGGTTTAGTAGGGTTTCGGGTTCAGACCCCACTGAATCCCAGCTTTGGGAGCCTGGTTCCGACCCTTCTTTTGTTTTCGCCTGAAATGCACCAGAAGTCTCTAGCTCGGTCCTTCGACTGGCGCTCCGGTCCAAGTCTATCTTGGAATTCACCAAACACCTGCTTTTTTTTGTAGGGTCCCTCTAAAGTCTGTACGAGGGTAAGAAGAAGAACTTCAACCAAAACAACCAGGTACATGTTAGTTTATTAATGTATCGGCCTTCTCTCAGGAATGCCGCGAAGAAGGGCTCCAAGCACCTGAGGGCGCGTGATCTTTGGGAGCCAAAGACTGGCTTCTCGTTGACTTTGTAGGCTTTCTAAAGGGTTTATGTAGGGTTTGTTAAAGGGGGCCTCGGTGCAGGACAGGGGCCCCGAAGCCAAGCAGATGTTTGTGGGTCCCCTCGTCGCCTGCTGAAACGAAGATCTCGGGAACAACGGCTACAACTACAGCAACCCTGATGGCACAGCAATCCTAAGCCTTATATGTGGCCTATACCCTGACAGCCCCGAATCTGAGCACCACAGTTGTTGCTTAACCCCCCTGCGATGGAAAGATCCTTCGGGCCTTCCGGGTGTTGGAGCCTGTGGATGACTTGAAGCCTTGATAAGCCTCTGCTTGGGTGTTTTTAGGAGCTTGGGGTTTTGTGGCTTAGGGACTGCGGTCTTCGATCTACTCGTAACAGTTTTGGGGAATTTGAAGGCTTAAAGTTTATACAGTTTAGACGGTTTAAGGTTGGGGCCAACTTGTGCCCCAGAAAATCAAGAAGGGCCTCCGTCTCTTGTCTCCTCCCGGCGAGTCGCCCCCTGAACCTCCTCACATCCCCGTCCTCCTTAACCCTGAACCCTAAACCCCAAACCCCTAAACCCTGAACCCTAAACCCTAAAGCCCTAAACCTCTAACCCCACCGTGGCCCACCGGGGCGAATGCGTGGGAGCCGGGGGCTGCGTTCGAAGTCCCACGTCACATGCTCAGTGAGAATTGAAGGTCTAGGTCGTGAGATTTCCGAAGCCCCACTTGTAGCCTTACATACATTGGGTGGTTGTCACAAGTAGGATCCCTTTTGGGTCCCGATTCTAGTACGGCACCTAATATTTAGGGTACCCAAAAAGGGATCCTAATTTTGCTTAATACGTCACAACCACCCATGCATGACACACTGTGGGGCCGGAGATTCCCCGGCCGTTGCGCCTTCAAACCTGGAGCCCCAAAACCTGTCCAAAAACCTTCCATGGTTCGTAGTAAGTATATGATAAAAGTATTAGTAGTAGTAATAATCATATTATATTATAGAATTGTTTTTCATGATCGTGATACAACTAGTATTAGTAACCATTTGAGGCCCCCGCCTGCTGAATTATGATCGCCGCTCAAAAAGCGGGAAGGAGGCAGCTGGAGAGAGAGTTGAAGGCAAAAGTCTTCGAAAGCCGAAAACTGCCCACGGTGCGTGGCTTCAGGGCTTGGGAGCTTCAAGGCTTGCGGAAGTTTATGGGTATGGGTTTCGAAGCGTTTAGAGGTTCAGGCTGATCCACCCTTGTGTAAGGGGCGTCGGATGCAGGCCTAAGAGAAGAGCTGTGCAAGAAGGTTTAGTGGCCCTAGTAACGGAGCACTCTCGGACCAGGTTCGGAAATTCGGGGCTGCATTACGCAGCTTAGGGCCTAAGGGCTTCAGTTTCAATGCCGGGTCTTCAGCAGGATTTCTGAAAGATCCCAATCTCCGGAACCAATACTTTGGGGCAAAGCCGAGGTCCAAGGGCGATGGGTTGTCACGACGAGCCTCCATCAGGCTGGAACTATGTTTGGGCTCGACCGTGTTCTGCTATAGGGGTTTGGTAGTCAAGCTTTATATCCGGTTTCAGGCCTTCAGGACTGTTTTGCTCTGCTGCGACAGCTAGTACCTCACATGGCTTAGTAGCAAGATCTCCGCTGCGGCAAAAATGTGGCACTAAGCCACAAAGTTGAGAGTTCTTAATGCAGGGTGGAGCATAGCCCGAAAATGTCTCAGACTAAATGCTAAAGGATATGGTCGAATACACACCAGCGGAAGCAGAATGATGTCACAACAGCCAACCACATCACAACATGGCATAATCTAGCGAATCTAGCGCAGTCTACGGTAATGCACTAGGCCACGTATAACACGGTGAGGCCTTGGAACCTAGATGAAGCCCAAGCCGCAATCTCGACGCAAAAGCCACGACCTCAAGAAGCCTCGAGCCTTCTCTAAGACAAGGCCGGCCCAGACTCTCAAATCATAACAAAAAATGCCAACATCGATTACGGAATTCGAAAGGACGATAGGAACCTAAACACCAAACGAGCAACACCACGGAGTGCTTGGGTACTGGGCATTTGGAGGCGGATGCGGTAGTTGCAAAGCCCAGACAAGGTGTGATAGAGCTCTAGGGCTTGGATTCTTTGGAAAGTCTATGGTCTAGAGTTTAAGTACCTCAAGGATCTAGGATTGAGGGCTTCCTCGGGGGAGCTCCTCGATCCGAAAACTGTGAGTATCCCAGCTCCTTCGACTGGCACTGAACTCTCAACCCTGAAGCTCGACAGCCCAAGCCCAAAACATCTATAAACCCTCGGAGTCCTCTGAACGCTTTCAGGCGCTAAGGTTATGGGTTGTTGAGGTGTATCTTGTAGGGCTTTATGGAGGCTTATAAGGCCTAAGGATTTTAGGGTCGAGCCCACCTAAAACCCTCGAAGATAAACCTTGCATGTACGTGGGCTGTCTCAAGCTGCATCGTTGAAGCCGGGCATTCGGCCCTACGAGTTTAGGGCTTCAAGGGTTTAGGGTTGAGCCCTGGGTTCCGATCCTTTTTTAACTGAAATACGACGCACGTCTTTGCGCGGTCTGCAGGCCCAGGCACCTGGCAGGGCAACATGGTGCTGGGGTTCGAGGTCTTTGTTTGAATTTTATTCGGGCGTAGGCGCTACTCCTGCGATGGCATTGAGGAACTTAGGGGGGCGGTGGTGTATCGACAAGTTGCGTGAGGATCAGATTCGACCACAGAACGGGTTCGTCGTGACGCAAGTCTCGTGGGGCTTTCTGAGCCCAACCCCCACCACCGAGGGTACACTTGCCCTCATGGGAGTTTCCCGAACCCGAAGACCACCCCAGTGAACTCCTAAAACCACCTACGCCTCAAAACTCTCTGGACCTTTCAACCCAGCTGACCCTACAAACATCAATCCAAGCCTAAGCTCCTAACCCCTGCACCCAAATCAACCCTAAAGCAACCATGCCGCTAGGCACTAGAGTTACCGATGGCTAAACCCTAAGCCCAATTAAAGCCCTGAAGCCCCAACCCTAAACGTACCTCTCTCGAGTCCATTGCTTGCATCGTTGAAGTCTTGGGATTTTGGGGCTGCGGGTGCTGTTTTAGGGTTCTGTATCGGGTTCGAGGGTTTAAGATTCTGCTTTAGGGTTTCAGGTTTTGCTTTCGGGCTTAGGGCTCGGCTTTAGGGTTGTTTAGCACGGTGTTTAGAGTTTTGCTTCAAGGTTTGGGGTTGTGGGGGTTATGGGTCGTGAAACATGCTCCGACTTCAGGGCTGAGGGCTAGGGTGGAGGGTCTTGGGTTTTGGGCAGCTGAGGGTTTCTTGCGGTGTCTGGAGATGTCGGTGGATGATGGGCTCATAGCTGCAGCCCGGATGGCTGAAGCGGGCTGTGGGCCGAAAGCGGCTGCGGGCCGCAAGCTGCAATAGCGGATGTTGGGAATGATGGCCCTCCATGTCAACGTTCTCTATTGCCTGTGGTCAAGATCGTCGGGCTACGACGGTGGAGTGGACGACAACTGCACAATGATTATGCCGCCGCGGCGGCTGATGATCATGATGATCATGGTGGTGATGATGAAACTGACGATGATGGCGACGATAACGATGATGATGATGACGGTGATGATGTAGTATCCAGTCATAATGACAACACTGAGCAGTGCTCCAGAACGATATCGAAAGGACCATAAACTACTCAACAGGAAGGGGCCCGGGAGCTCGAGGCTGAAACGATTGCCTCACTGAGCATCACTAGTTATATGGGTTTTCGGATATTACTCAGTTACTAAACCCTGAACCATCCTGAATCCTAATGGTTAGGTACTTGCCTGGGGTTAAGATAGTGATGAAGGTTAGCACTTGGGAGAGAAGGTGACTACATATTAATCCCTGTAAGCTTTAAACTTAAAGCCCTATGCCCTAAATCCCTAAACCCCAAACCCTGAGCCCCTAAACCCTAAACCCTAATCCCTAAACCCTGAAGTAGCAGATACTCGGACCCTACAGCATCGAGGGGATTCGAGTGGGGAGTCGAAGATGTCAGGATGACCTTAGGGTTTAGGGTTTAGGGTTCTCGCAGACGCACTGCACCCTGGAAGCCTCCATCAACCGCTACTTAAAGGATCATGGGACTGTACCTGGGGTTGTAAATAAGATAACCATATTCTGATAATACAAGTACCTATCACTTGGGTAAGACAAGTATAACCTTACATACGAAGTCCCATGATCCTCCAGATACTGAGCCCTACCGTAAGCTCCCATGACCTGCTGTTGCCGAAGGCTCTCTTTATGAACCCTAGGAGGGCGCTAGGATAGAATTAACAGGACCCTACAAAAAAAATGTAGGTATTGGTCGGTGAAGGTAATGCAGAATCCGACTACCGTCTAGCTCGCTTATGCTACCAGTGCAGCAAAAGCCCTCAACCCTAAAGCCGCACCCGAAAACCCTCAATCCTGCAGCGGTAAGGCGGTCCAAGCCACACAGTGAATTTAAGAAATACACATCTCTGCACTGCTATGGCCTCGGATACTTAGGATTTTGGGGCTTAGGCTAGGGTTGGCTTTCTAACATCTTTCAGCCCTGCTTCGTTTTTCGACTAACTATCATAGCCATCTCAGAGGCTTCGCTTTCGAAGAAAGAACAAGAGCTGCTTCGAAAGAGAAAGAGAGCGCAGGTATGTGATGCAGGGTTTCAGGCTCACAGGATTTCGAGGCTTTGGTGAAGAGGGTCGGTCTGAAGCATCTTGTTCTTGCTGACACGCGGCTCTGCCGGGATGCCGATTGCAATTAAGTTGGGTGATACCTGGAGCACGCTGCTCCACTCCGGAAGGCATGAAGACGAGCTGCAAAAGCCATGGAGCCACAGTCTTCTAAAGACTTCAGACAGTAAGCCCACGCTCTGATGCTGTCAGAAGTTACTTCCCTTGGGCTTTGGCTTTGCAATCGTCTGGGCCGTAGTGGGTGCCGCGCACGGTCCCCCCGCCAGCGTCACCCAGCTTTCGCCAGGCATCGGCATCGTTTTCGTTCAACTCCAGAACCCTCACGAAGCAGTCCTGCGAGAGACTAGCCCCATGAGGACTGCGCATAATGCAGTTCGATTTTTGGGAGAATTTAAGGTTTGGGACTAAATACTTCGGCCGTCACAGGACGGGGCGTGCTTTCAAGCTTGGAAGGTCCGAGTCTCAGGAGTCTAGCTGTGCAGGGTTTGGGGTTTAGGGGTTTGGGTCTCTTGTGGGGCTTCAGGTTTCAGGTGTCAGGCCTTCGGGAGTGCCAGCCCTACAAGTTCCGGGAAGCCTTCTCTACTTGCCAAGCGCACGTTGTTTCGGGTGTGGGGGCTTTGGGTCTCAGTACGAGTGGCATGGGTTTTTCGGAGTTCTAGGCTCCATGGATCCTCGGCTCACCCCCCTTGCGCAGGAGCAGGCCTGTTTTGCGGGAAAACACGCCCCCACGCCTAGATAAGTATGCCACTTATGACTTCGAGAGTCTTGGATCTATGGCTTCCGGTGTCAATCAGCTTCGGGAGCCACTGCGATTGAACGAATCAGCGGGCCGCAACAAGCCCTCGACTGACAGGCCCTGACCCACCCGCCCCCACCCCCACCCCATGCCCCCCGGTCCTTTGCGTCATAAGACTGGCCCTTCACGGCTCCACCGCCTTTGAGACCCAGGTTGCACCACGCAAGCGCATAGGTCTCATCGAGCTCCAGCGTCTTCACGTAGCAGGCCTGCAGGGCAGGGAAGCGGCCCCCCCACCGACCCCTAACTAAGTAGACCACTTATGACTTCGAGAGTCTTGGGTCTATGGCTTCCGGTTTCAATCAGCTTCGGGAGCCGTTGCGATTGAACGAATCAGCGGGCCGCAACAAGCCCTCGACTGACAGGCCCTGACCCGTCCCCCCCCCACCACGCCCCCGGTCCTTGTCGTCATAAGCCTGGCCCTTCACGGCTCCACCGCCTTTGAGACCCAGGTTGCACCATGCAATCGCATCGTTCTCATCCACCTCCACTGCCTTCACGTAGCAGGCCTGCAGGGCAGCGGCAGCGAGGGAAACGACTTGGCGCCCTGGCTGCCTGTAGACTTCCAGCACCCATATAGGTCTAACTGAAATGGGTTTCTTCAAACCTCCAAGACCGGGATCCGAGGCCGAGAGGCTAGACTGTGCAGAGTGTTTTTGCGGGAAGTTTTCGGGGGTTTGAGACTTCTAGGCTCCATGGATCCTCGGCTCCCGCCCTTGCGCAGGAGCAGGCCTGTTTTGCGGGAAGCGGCCCCCCCACCCCTAACTAAGCAGACCACTTATGACTTCGAGAGTCTTGGGTCTGAGCCGCTGCGATTGAACGAATCAGCGGCAAAAAGCCCTCGACTGACAGGCCCTGACCCACCCCCCACCCACCCCATGGCCCCCGTCCTTCTCGGCATAAGCCTGGCCCTTCACGGTGCCACCGCCACGGCGACCGAGGTTTCTCCACGCAAGCGCATAGTTCTCATCCACCTCCACTGCCTTCACGTAGCAGGCCTGCAGGGCAGCGGCACCGGGGGTAACGACTTGGCGCCCTGGCTGCATGTAGACTTCCAGCACCCATGTAGGTCTAACTGAAATGAGGGGCCAGGGATTTGGGGTCTCTTATGGGGCTTCAGGTTTCAAGGAGCTTCGGGCGTCTAGAAGGTCATTGTGGAATTTCCGACTTTGACTGCGGAAACCTGCTCAGCGGGCAATTACAAGCTTGGGCCTCCCATTTACGGCCGGAAGCTGCAAACTCTGACAGCCCCAAGTCAAGCACCCCGCCCGGTCCTTTGCGTCATAAGCCTGGCCCTTCACGGTTCCACCGCAGCAGGCACCGAGGCTGTTCCACGCATTCGCATAGTTCTCGTTGAGCTCCAAGACCTTGAGAAAGCAGGCCTGCAGAGCAGCAGCACCGGGGGTAACGACTTGGCACGCTCGCTGCATGTAGACTTCCAGCATGCATAATAAGCTTAACTCATTTCTTCAATCCTCCAAGATCGGGATCCGAGACCGGAGCAGCAAATGGCTTTAGAGTCTGAGTGGCTAGACTGTGCAGATTGTTTTTGTGAGCGGATTTTGGGGGAAGCTTGGGACTTCTGGGGCCTTCAAAAGACAGCGGCCTCAAAGTTGAGCGGCGAGTCTTGGTCTTAGGGCTGGCTCAAGCGGTAACGGGAGGTTCAGAGGTTGCATGAACTGTTACTGTGGTTGTAGCGTTCTGGCTTTTAGGCCGTCGTAGGCTGCTTCATGAACCCTCGGCTCCCCTTGTCCAGGAACCCTGCACTTCAGACACTCAGACAACTCCCTTCAGATCCACGAAGCAGTCAACAATAATTACAAATCGCAATACATCTGCAGGGGTGGAGTAGGGGTCATCAAATGACTGTACGTCTGGGGGTTTCAGGTGCATAGCGGGCTCGCACTTTACACGTATGCGAGGGCAGCTCCGTCCTTCTTTGAGTAGCTCTGGCCGTTGCGCTCGCCCCCGCCTTTTCGGCCCAGGTCCCAGAATGCCTGGCAGTTTGTGCAGGACAAGCTGACATGATCTGTCTAGGGTACTGTCACGTGGCTTCTCTTGTGAACACTGTGTAACTGCATAAGTGTTCTCTGACTAGATCGAGATGGAAAACTTGCAATGAGCGTTCAGTACAACACCCGAATGCCAATGTGCTTGAGTACCGAGCCACACGACTCAGTCGGAGCCAACGATGTCAAGGAAATTAGTTTCCGAACAGATTTACAAGGCGGCAGGTCGGGCATCGCGAGGCAACGCAGCCCGTCATTCATCGCCAAACATACCGGCAGTGTACAACGAAAGTCTGATCAGCTGCCAACAACGTCTCAAGCTGAATGATGCTGAAACTTTGTGTCGTGTCCAGCCCATGCAGGGCTCCAGCCCATGGTTGCAAAAATCCTCTTCCTTGCGAATACTGGTGCCCATGGCCTCGGAAAAAGCAGCTGCCTGGTCCCTACAATATACCCTGAATCCTAGGAAAGCCCCTACATCTGAATCTAAAGGTCGCAAGATCCCCTGAAGTAAGCATGCTGCCTCGAATCCAATCCCTGGCGGGTCCTGCCTCGGCTTCTTTGACATCTGCGGGGCTGGGCGAAGCGCTCGGGACCAGGGCCTTCGACGGAGTGAGTCGGTATTTCGGCCCTCGAGACCCTACGAGTCGGCACTTCAGGCACGGCTCGATCTCTGCTTCGGCCATCATATTTTGGCTTCTAAGCCTCTGGGCTGGGGATGTGATATACCAGAGTACTGTGAATGCGCTTCTCTGGCGCTTCTCTTGCGAACACCATGCAGCTGCCATGTAACTGCCTGACTTTTATTGCCTTATTGAAATCGCAAGCCGTACATAAATTGAACGGTTAGCACGACACCGGAACCCCCTCGAGCTCAGCTAGGTGCGACGAAGTCGAAGCAAGCGATGCGAAGGAAAACAGCGGCCGAGCGGATTTACAGGGCATGAGGTGGGCAACTTTAGCCCGATCATCGCCAAACTTGCCAGCCAGGCACAGCCGAGGAAGCTGCCACGGAAGCCATGTGTGAATTTGCAGTGGATGTTTTTCGAAGGGATCAACAAGCGGCCGCCTGCAACCTGAAATTCAGGTCACCAAATGAAAGGCCTCTGTCCCGCTCTTGGCATCCCTCGAGGTTGCGGGTGCAAGTGCCGATTGGCAGGCTTCGAGAGTTCGACGCATCCAGGACATTCTTCCATGCCAAACTCCTGTGTGAAGGAACTTACGTTGCAGAAGGGAGTCTCCTTCAAGAGCACATTTGAAAAAGGCCGTGCAACAAAAACTCTTCTTGCCAACTCGACCCCGTTGAAGGCCTTCTCCGACCGCCGCGCAGCTCTGCGTGGCTGCGGGTTTAGGGCTTTACTTCCCTTTGGTTAGTCGGGAATGGAGGAATGGGGTACAATTATAACTACTATTACTACCATTCTTCCATTCCCTACTAACCAAAGGTAAGTTTAGTGCGTGCAGAGAATCTCCTGAACCGAACTGGACACCTTGGCAGCTGAGGCAACAGTAGCGAGGACCCCCGAAGCCTTTCTTTTTGGGAGCTGCACATGTAAGGCCGGATACCTCCAGCAGCCTTTGAGGACATGTTTTTCCTGCAATGTAGCATAATGCATTGTATGATATGATGTACTGCAGTTATATTATTGCATAAACCCTGAACCCTAAACCCTAATTAATCCGTAAATATGCTGTGTATCTTCGTGTATTCACTTAGTTCCGATCCCACGCGGTGCAGCCTTGGCTTCTTCACCGGGGCCCTGGGCCTGCAAAGAGGCTACTGCGGCAAGGATCCCGGCGTTTTCAGGGGGTTCTTGAGACTCATGGGGCTGTACCTTATGCTGGGGTGTGCTCATTAGAAGGAAGCCTATTTAGCAGGGTCCGATGTGGAGCTCCCATGTGGCGTGCGCAGCCTGATTGTGAGAAGAAGGTGCCAGGCATAGCCAGGGTCTACATGTGCTGCTGATTGCAGGAACTAAGGCGGTGCTGCAGGTATCAGGGATGCGACGTCGTGCAGAACCTCAAGCGGATGGTCTACTTCCGTGGAACATGACTAGCGGCTACAGTGCAACAAAACGTACAAGAAACGCTTGGTTGAAAGTGTAGATGCTACGCCACCGGGATAAGACAAGAAACACCAATTGCGTCAAGTACCAAGATCTGAAGAGTCCCACTTCTGGATTCGGGTTGCTGGAGCAGCCTGGAGGCCTCGGGTCTACCGGCATGCTCAAACCACCGAAATACAGTGCAGCGGGCTGCCTGTTCGTAAGTTGGGGCTTTCTCAGGCCTCGAAAAACCCTGAAGTCAGAAACCTGGGGGCGGGAGAGGGGCATCCAGCTCATTCATCATCTCCACCTCAGTTATGAAGGATCTTGATTATGTCATCAACGAACCGATCTCAATGCGCATGACCACTGGTGCGCTAACCAAACTTGAGAGACTGCCGTTGGTGTGCCTTCGGTTCTGCTGTTGCTGCTGCATCCGCAACAGACGCCGCAAGGTCCTCCGGGAAGAACAACTACAGGGGAACAATACCTCAAAGGTCTTCTGTAACGGTTTACTCTATATAATTGCTTAGCAAACGCCTAAAGTACCAAATCAATAGAAATCACTTCGGGCTCGCTCCTGCTACGCCCTATGCTAGAGCAGCAGAGTGTCTGCAATACGGTTGATGATATAAATCCTGCATGACCTTAAGGACCCTAAACTATGGGAATTATGGTATATTCCTTGTTATGGGTAATGCAGGATTTATATCATCAACAGTAGTTGTTCTACTGGTACACTGCCTTGACACCGTTTGTAACTATTGATGCTACATGTTCTGATGTTCAGCAGAAAATTTCGAAGGCCTGCAACCCGCAGAAGCGTATGAGCCCGAAATTTGGCAGAGTCCTTGCTGCCGCCGGCCATGCCTTTCCGCAGCGCTGCGGCGATGGGCCCGCACCCTGCCAAGAACGCAGCTTGGGGAGGTCGGGTGGATGATATTATAATTCTTGAAAGCCTGCCGGACCCCGCAGAACCTGACGTGTTCGGCTATGGCTATAGCCTCTGTGCTCAGGGTTGTTTAGAAAGGTCCCGGTAGGCGCAAGCAAACTTGGAGTGTTGCGTGAAACTCGAAACCCATCTTCGAAGGCGAGAGATGCAGAGGCAAGAGCCGAAGAGCTTCTACCGCCCATGATGGACTACCCGGTATCTGGCCCGAAGAGCAGAGATCTTGTCTTGCTCCATGTTTTCAGCATTCTGAAAGACTCCTTGTGGACATTCCTTCGATGACAGCTTCACCCTACCTTCTTCATAGTATGAGCCTCGAGTAGAATGCAGGCCCATGGAACGGCCTTTTGCTACACGCAGCTAGCGGAGCTCTCAGGTGGTGGAAGATGACACGCCGCGTCGAATAATATTGACTCCGACACACGAAGGATATGGTGGCGGGTGAAATTCAAGAAGTTAAGGCCCATGGAACTCCTCCTGCGTGTATACCCCTTCTTCCATAACCAGCGAAACAGCTCCCACAGTCGGAAGTCCAATGTGAAGGCGCCCCTGCACTGTTCCACGAAGACGTTTGGTCTGTGAATTCAAGCTTTGCGGCGATTGCGCGTACACTCCGCAGTCTTGGACCGCTGTGGCTTCAGAAGTGCGTTCATGCTCCCCTATAACCAAAAACTTACCCCAGGAAGGGTGAGTTCCGAAACCCGAGACGAAAGCAAATTTTGCGGTGTGCGCAGTGTGTAATCGCATGCAGCCCAAATCGCGTGAAGATTAACAGATCTTTGAATAGAAACTTCGATGACGCATCACACGAAGCACTGGTAAACCGGCCAATGCGTGTTCGAGGTGAGCAGGAAAAGCTGAAGGTCCTGTACCACTTGAGCCCTGTCTGTATCGTATTCTTCCCGATGGTTGAGGCTTCTAATTCGTAGGTTGGTTCTGCACGACCGATTCTTCTGTGCGGGTGGAGTGTTCTGGGGGTTCAGAAGTTTGAAAAGCCATGGTTCGCGGTAGCAGGTATCAGACAGCCTCTGCTGGACCTATCTAACTCCAATGAACACAGATCGCGTAGACAGGGGAAATGGGTCCTTCTTGTTCTGGGGCTCCCTGAATCGTTCTGCCAGGCAGCTTTAATCCGTGATGCGGTTCGTCCTTGGCTATATAACACGATCATACTTGGGGCATCAAGTGCCTTATTAAGTATAAGGATCATACAAGTCCTTAATTAGGGTCAAGAGTCGCTGCCTGTAATTATCCTTAGTTGCCTTAGTTAGTAAGTCCCATGATCCTTGAAGTAGGGCTGCTTGGCACTGTGATTTATGGTGGCATCCTGTTAGCACAGCATCATTGCTGAACAAGCTTCCTCTGTACTCATGCTTACGAACTTTCTTAGTAGTATCTGTCAGACTCTAGTACCCAACTGGACATGTCTCTGAAATAGCACATGCATAAATAAACTTTGAGCCCAACACTCAGTGAAATGAAGTAGGGTTTCTATTGCAAGTATAACATAATCACCATAATTTTACCAAAGTCTGCGCTCACCCTACTTTAGGATCCCAATCCCTCGCTGTCCAGCCTTGGGTTCCGGCCCAGTGGATGCTGCGGTGCGTGGTGACGGGAGAAAGCCTGCTGCCTTGCCGAGGCACGGTTGGACTTTTACGCAGGCGACATCACCAGAATCATGCAGGCTACTTGTAGCAGAATGAGGCCATGACTGATGAGAAGTTATGCTGCAGGAAAGTCTTATGGACAGGTCAGTCTATGGGCAGCCTCGGCATCCTTGGGCGAAGCTGCTTTGGCGGTGCTCGGTGAGGCGTGAGAGGCCGCGCCCTCAGGAGCGACGGTGGTGGAAGCTTCCGCCTTAAACCCCGAACCGTGGTGCAAAAGTCTGCGGAGGTGGGACTCAGGGACGGTTAGGCAAAGGCTTGAATCCAGCAGGTCTCCTCTCACAGCTCGTTCGATGTCCGATGTCTCACCCTGGTGGACCGGTGGACCGTAGCTTACGGTGCTACTCCGCTATTATGACTCTTATAGTACTGTAGCAGTACCAGCCCGCATCACATTTCAAAATGTCTCGTGCCCGGCCTTTCCATGCCCTGATGGGCGACGGCCGCCTGGAAGAAGCGTCTCGGCAATCTGGGCAGCGATGTAGTTCGCGTCTTTGCCCCTGCAATCTACGTAAACGGTGGCCTTTCCAATCGCCAGCTTGAGAAGCCCGGCGCCAGCTCCCATCTTGTCGTGCTGGTGCTCTGGGCCGGAGGGGGGTTTCGGGGGCCAGGGGTCATCGCAGACTCGGAGGGGGAGAATGTCGAGCCCGTTCTCATGGGCGACACGGAGCTCCTCGTAAGAGGAATACCGGGAGTCGGTCTTCTCGGCGTAATGTGGGGTGCACACCGCAAGCAAAACTCCCTTTTCGTCTTCGAGTTTGCCGAGGTACGCTGCTGTCATTTCTCCGAAATTTTTGCTTGCCGCTGCGTCCACCATGAGCACCGGGTAATTCTTCTCTTTCAGAATCTGGTAAACTCCTCGGAATAAGGTCTCGGTGGGGCCGCGGTCAAACCTTGCCGAGAACATCCCAACCCGAGCGTTTGTTCCATCTGGTATTTCTTCTGCGCCGCCCACCTGGCACAAGGCTCACTCCGGACAAGTCCCAAACCACCTCTACCTCAAAAAGCCAATAAGCCCCAAGCCCTAAACCAGAAAATCCAAAACCCTTCCCGCATCACAGACTCGAGCACAACAGGTCGGACAGGCTTTGGCCATCGTGCAGTGGCTCAGATCCTGCAACTTCCGCAGTGTACAGGGGTGGGGGCGTACGGTTTGGGGTTCAGGGTTTTGGGTTCTGTGCAGAGATTCGAGTTGGGAACTTGCGGAAGTGCTGACTCAATACCCTCAGCATGCAGGCAAGTTGAGAATCGAACAAACCAGGTCGTCGGTAAATCGTTGCGAGCCTGTGAAATCACTGTAGCTACTAACTCTCACGTGTTTGGGCAAGCTGTTGCAGACTGCCCTTCGCCAAGCGATCGAGAACATGGCCGACGATGATCATTTTCTGTCAATGCTAAGACGTATGTGCCAAGATGTCTCCAGAATGGGCATCATGCACCCTCTCCGAACTACCACTGCTCTCAATTGAAGCCGGATGGTCCTTCGACCCCACTGCAGCACAGGACAAGCGCTTCTAAGCGACACGGATCTCGGCTTTGCCGGGACCTTCGCGCACATACCAGGCCCACCCAGCTTACACGCTGTGGTTGCCTTATCTTTAAGCGGACCCGTCGCCTCTACAAACCGCAGACTCTCTGTAAACCCTCACTATGACTATGCACACTAAACCCTACAAACCCCTGATATATACAAACCCTAAACCCTGTATCTTGAACTCCAAAAGCCTGAACCTAGAACACCGCCGACGTCCGGAACAAGTCTTCGAAATAGACTCCATCCCAATTGTTTGTTTGACTCTCTATTTTAAATATGTGTGCAGAATTAAAAACTGCCTGTAAAACCCTACACCCTCTACACATCCATGTATGTGTGTGTGTGTGTGTGTGTTTGTTTACTTGTGTACATACTTACCTGCTTACTCTTTTAAATACAACTATATACACATACATATATATATATATATATGTATGTATACGCACATCCATTTCTTTCTATTTATCCATGTCTACCTACCTATCCTACCTATCTGAATATCTTATAAATCCAGATACTCATACTAACTATTGATGGAAGGTTCAGGCTTCCACTCGACCGGCTACGGGCTCTGGGCTTCTCTTCTCGGGGTGGGCTCTCCCTGCATAGACCATAATCGTATGTAGGGCTTCAGGGTTTAGGGCGGCTTAAGGCCTGCATAGGTTTTAGCTTCAGGGTCGAGGACCTGTAAGATTCAGGGAATCCTTTGGGGCTGTTAGCGGTTTACGGCTATAATACGGGCTTCGAGGCTTTAAGTTTAGGTAGACTTGTAAGGCTTTGGGGGTTTAGGGTTTAGGGCGTTTAGGTTTCAGGTCTCTGGGGGTTGCTAGTGGTTTCGGACTGATAGGGGCTTTGAGGGTTTAGACAAGAGAAGCATAGAACAACAATGTTCAGAACGATCGCAATCAACACGGAAAAGACATCGTCATAAACGGTTACGGAGAGTATACTTCAAGATAGTTCGTACGGCCTTGCACAGGCTGTGTCAGTCTCCGCAAGCATGCAAGGCCTAACTGGAGGCTTCGTCGAAATCCCTAATGTAGGAACCTGATTAAGAAACCTTGGGGCTTTATTCGGGTTCCTCATATGAACCCTAATATATTGGGGTTATAGGGTCACGGTTTCTCAATCAGGTTCCTACATTAGACCCTAAACCCTAAACTCCAGAAGAGACTCGAAGGTCGTGAAATTCCTCTCACTTCTACCGGAAACAGGCCTAACCAGATTCTCCAGCGAGCTTGGTACGAAGTGCTTGAGATACACGGAGGGCATGTACAGACCAGTAGGATATGAGAGCGAAGAGCCAACCAAAACTCAAGAAGGAAGAAACTGAACAATCCTCTGCGAAGTCAAAGGGAGGCTTTGCAGGGCTTCGTCGATTCAGTGCCAAGAAAAGCTGTGAATCCGGCAGTCGCTCCCCCCGCTACCCTTGCTACACAGCAAAGCCTGTATCAACCATCACAACATCTGTCCGGGAGTCAACTAATCCTTCGGATTCCGCGTGTGAGAAAGCTTCATTAATTGTGCTGCAAAAGACCAGCAGAACGAGGGTGCAGTCTCGGCAACTGAGTGAAAGTTCCCAAGTGCGCACCGAACCACGAAACTTAGAACCCGATGCCCTAAGCCACGGAACCACAAACCCCCAAGCATCAGATCCTAAACTAACCTGCCTGCTCCGATCTTGAAATTAGGATTCACATTAGGAATATAATTGCCTC